TCCCCACCAGTTAGGTCCCAGTGATGGGTCTCTGGAGGTTTGTGTGTGTTCTCTTGATTTCTACTGCGTTGCCCAAGCTGGCTACAAACTCCCAATTACTCCTTCCTTATCTGGACTCCCAACTAGCTGACAGTGTACCATCAGGCCTTGTATCACTGAACTTAGGGACCCCTGGTGTACTCTCCTAAGTGTGTTTCCAACAGCCTCAATGAGTGTGGTTCCTCTGAGCCACCCTCTGATAGGTATCCTGAGCTTATGTGGTATATCTATTTTCTTTTGGGGGTGGGGGCGGATTGAGACAGGGTTTCTCTGTGTAACAACTCTAGCATCCCTGGAGCTAGCTCTGTAGATCAGTCTGGCCTTGGATTTACAGAGATCCCCCTGCCTCTGCCTCCCCAGTGCTGGGACTAAAGGTGTGTGCCACCACTGCCTGGCTCTATTTTCATATGTAATTATTCCGTAGTTACTTTTTGTTTCTCTCCTCTTCAGTTTGAATAGCAACTTAGGAATTTCAATATCACTTTGTGCCATCCTCATTTTGGGGGCTTTAGGGAGCTGTCCTGGCAGTAGTACTTGCTACGACACTGAACCTTGTGTCCTTAGGTCAGCAAATACTCCTATGTTCAGCATCATGTTCCAACTTGGTGCACAGTTTTATTGGAGGGGCAAGATTACAAATCAAGAAAGAGAGCTAGGTGGGGGGTGCACATCTTTAATCCCAGCACTCAGGAAGCAGAGGCAGAGAGATCTCTGAGTTTGAGGCCAGCCTGGTCTACAGAGCTAGTCCAGGATAGTCAAGGCTGCACAAAGAAGCCCTGTCTCAAAAAGGAAGAGAGAGAGAGAGACAGAGAGAGAGATGGAGAGAGACAGAGACAGAGAGAATGAGAAGGAGAATTACTGAGTACAGATCACTTACTCTAGACTGACAAATGCGAAGAGGAAGGGAAAACATTTTTCAGAGGAAGAGTTTGCTGTTTCATTGTTTTTTGGGTTTTGTCTATTATTCTTGGGTTTGTTTTTTTTTTTCATTGTTTAATGTTGTTTTATTGGAAGATCTTGGCATAGTTGAAAGTTTCAAAGACGTAAGTCTGTGGAGAGGACAAAACTGGATTTGTAAGGACACAGGGGTATAGCAAGCAACAGGAATCAGTTAACTACCAGTCAGGAGGAAGCAACACAGAGTGACTATAATGAGTCAGCTATTCTAAGTCATAGAAATTAGAAGTACACATATACCTGAGTCGAGTCAGAAGGAATGTTCAAAGTCCATTCCAAACAGGTGTTCCACCCAGATATGGGTGGGGAGAGGCACTGGTCCCGTGATTAGATAGCAGGGGACAGCCAGGGATTTTCCCTAGCTTGAATCTGAACAAGGGCCAGATTCCTGGGAAGAAGTGAAGTAAGTGAGGATGATGTTAAGTAGAGAAGATCTAACTGCGCAGACGAGAAAGGCCAGTCATTCTCTTAGTATGTGTTTAGACTTTGTTGCTGGAGCTGAAATGAGGAACTTGAGACTATTTGCCCTCTGTCTTAGTTAGGGTTTCTATTGCCATGAAGAGACACAGAAGCCTTATTCAAGAAAACATTTCATTAAAGTGACAGCGTACAGTTTCAGAGGTTTAGTTCATTGTCATCAGGGTGGGGAGCATGGTGGCACGCAGGAAGACATAGTGCTGGAGAATTCTACATCTTTGATCCACAGGCAACAGGAAGTGAATTGTGACAATGGGTGGTACCTTGAGCATAGGAGACCTCAGAGCTGGTCCACCCAGTGACACACTTCCTTCAACAATGCCACACCTACTTCAACAAGGCCACACCTCCTACTAGTGGCACTCCCTGTCATGGAGAGTCAAGAGACCCTGGCATCATAGGTAAACTAGGCCACATGGAGATACACAGATTAATAGAAATGGGTTAATAATTAAGAGAGAGCTAACCAGTAAGAAGCCTGAGCCATTGGCTCAGAGTGGTTATTTCATTAAGTGGCTGTAAGACCTTGTGGGTGGAGAGAAAACCAGTTCAGTGGGAAGGAGATAGATGGAGAAAATCTCCTTCTCCATGAAGGGGGTTTATACAGTAGCCAGGCAGGAGGAAGGACTTTGGGGAATTCTAAACCTGTCTAGCTACAGGCTTGGGATTGACTCAAACCTGGAAGCTGTTTCAGCAATGGCTCAGGCTTCTTATTCACTAGCTCTCCCTTAATTATTAACCCATTTCTATTAATCTCTGTATCTCCACGAGGTCTTGGCTTACTGGCGATGCTTCCTCGGCATCTACACGGCATCTCCTTAACTCAGCCTACTACCTTTCTTTATCCCTGTTTGGATTTCCAGCCTGGCTAAATCCTGCCTGGCCATTGATCAAAACAGCTTTACTTATCAACCTGTAAAGGCAGCACACATCTGAAGCATGTAGAAGGACACCCCATACCATTTCCCCTTTTCTAATTGGATCGGAAGGCTTTAATTTTAACATAGTAAAATTACATGTAACACAACAGTTACCAAGCAAGAATTGCAGTAACAGTATTTAGTCTATTTGCATTTAGTAAAATTAAAGAAAATACTCTATCATCTATCCTTTCATCATGAGTCTAAAGTTTTATATCTAATTTATTTTTTATAATAACAAAGGAAAACTGTAACTATAACTGTCTTCATCTCCATCAAAGACCCCAGTAGGATACAATATGACCTAAGTAAACAGGAAGTGCACTATAAGCAGCTTCCAAGATCCTATAAATGACAGAGACATCTGGCTGCCTGGACAGTCATTTAAGCTCCTCTGCAATGTTGGGGCATCCATCTCCAGCCTATGGGCATGGGGAGTCTGGCAGACTTCTCAGTGAAGCAGGGAATTTGAAGATCTGGTCTGCCTTGTACTGGCAAAGTACATCAGTTGCTTTCTTCTGAGTCCTGCAGAATGTCTGGAAGTTTCCTCTGTGAAGCAGAAACCCTGAAGGGCTGTCGAATCTGATTTAGCAGTCTTGTTCTTGTGGGTCCTACATGTCCAGTTTATACATCACATGGTCAAGCATTCCAGGCAACAGCGATTTCCTCCCCATTTGGCTAGCTTTTACCATAAAGAAAACAAACTCCACATTGAATTTCTTTGATGCCCATCATCCTCTCTGAAGTAGATTTGTGTTGTCAGGAGCAGATGTCTCATTTTCATGGGAGACCTAAGGTTTTTGTTTGTTTGTTTTGTTTTTCCAGACAGGTTTCTTTGTGGCTTTGGAGCCTGTCCTCGTGGAACTTGATCTGTAGACCAGGCTGGCCTCGAATTCACAGAGACCTGCCTGCCTCTGCCTCCAGAGTGATGGGATTAAAGGCATGGGACACCACTGCCAGGCAAGATTTTAGGCTTTTAGTGTTTTGTTCATTCTGAAAATTTGACTGGATGTCCTCTAAGTTCCCTTCTAGCCCCAACATTCAACGACCAGTCATTTAAAAGTTTTTTTTTTTTCAATCATGTTAACACTATGTTCTGGAGTAAATATAGTCAACATGCATTTTTACAGTTTCTAATTGTGTGTAAGTGTGTTGAAGGACCAGCCTGCCTTTATTTAGGCTTAAAAGCTATCCTATAGTAAAGGCAAACTACGTCCATTCCTGTTTATCAATAAGCCTGTTTCTCAAAGATTGCGCTATTTCCTACCTGTAACCTTAACTACAAATAGTTTTATATTGCCTGCTCCAGGAATGGCAACCATGTCTTTGTTTCAAAAGTTGTTGATAATTGTTTTACAATCCTACCTTTGTTTATATGACTACCTTGTTATTCCTACTTGCAACTGTGTCTGTTTCAGAACTAGAAAACAAAACAAAACAAAAACAAAACAGCCTGAGCGAGGTAACCTAAAACCAGAAAGACAAATATTGTATGTACTCATAAGTGGATACCAGACATCAAGCAAAAGATACTCAGCCTATAATCCACAACCCCAGAGAAGCTTGAACCCTCTTCCAGAAACAGATGAAGCAGATGCAGAAATCCACAACTAGCCAATGGGTCAAGCTCCTGGAGTACAATCGAAGTGATGGAGGAGCGATAATATGAACAAAGGAGTCAAGATTAAGATAGGGAAACCCACAGAATCAGCTGACCCGAGCTAGTGAGAGATCACTGACTCGGGTCTGACAAATGGGGAACAGACTCCCTTAATATAGGAGACAATGGTGTGACTGGGACAGTGCATGAGGCCACTGGCAGTGGGTACAAGATCTAACACTAACGCACAAACTGACTTAGTGGAGCCCATTCTATATGGAGATCCCTTGCCCAGCCTAGACACAGGGGTGTGGGGTGGAGAGGTGCCTTGGTCCTGCCTCACGAGATGATGGGACAGACCTAGTAGACTTCCTAGGAGAGTTCTTATCCTCTCTGAGGAGCAGATGGGAGGCGAGGGGAGTGGAGGAACTGGGATTGGAATGTGAAAAATCAATTAATAAAAAAGTAAACTTGCTCTACTTAATCGCTTGCTTTGACTAAATTGGCCGAGATTTGGGTCGGTGGTCTTTCTCCTCCTATCTTTGGAACTAACAGTGTCTTGAGGAAATGTTTCTGTATCACTTCTGCCTCCAAACTACCCGTCTGTTCAGCGGACATCAGCGGAAAACAGAGACAAATGGCCAGGCAGCGGGCTACTGACTGTGGGATTCAAGTGAGACAAAACGGAAGTGGTCCTTGAAAATTACCTTCCCAAGAAGCGTTGAGTCTGAAACACACTGTCTAATTGCAACAGTAATTTAAAGTCGACTTTTCCTAAACTGCATTCCTAAGCAGAGACACAACCACGTTTTCATCCGCAGCACAGACAAGGGTCTGTCTGCTCCACTTAGAGGAACAGCTCTTCTTCCAGCCGCGGACACGCGCGGAACCAAGAAGCCGAGCGCTCCGATTTCCCGGGCGAGCTCTGGTCAGCGGAGGACCAGCCTCCGGGCGGCGTTGCCGTGGAGACGGAGCTCGCTGCCTCCGTGGATGTGGCGCCTGGCCGAGGCTCGCTCGCCTGTGCTGACTGCCTGCGGCGGGGGCTCACAGGACCGACGCCAAGATGGTTAGTGGCTCCAGAGTTAAGGGGTGGGGAAGCTCCGAAGAGCTTTTCCCGCGGGCTCTAGCGCCCGGCGCACTCTGCAGAGGGCGAGCCCTTTATTCCCCAGCGTTTCCACGGGCACAAGCGAGGGACGCAAAGGAAAATACCTCGATGCTCTCTTCCCTCCTGCTCCTCCATTCCCCGACACCAGGTCTGCTTGCGGACTGGAAAAACAGCCAGGCAGCAATGAGGTGGTAGAAGCCCCATTGTGGACGAGTAGCTGGAAGTAGCTATTTGGCTCCTCTTCAGAGGTGATGGCTCTTTTAATAAAACGCGTCTTTAGAAGGTGTCTGAATAGTGTTTATTGGTAAGGATTTGGCTTGGAAACCACAGAGCTGTTGCTCTCGGTTTTAAAAAAAAAACAAAAAACAAAAAACAAGACTTTTGAGCTGCACCGTCTTTGCTGTTCGTTTTACAGATGCTTTCAAGGGCCAAACCCGCCGTGGGCGGGGAATCACCGCACACTGACAAAAGAAAGAAGAAAGGCAGGAAGATTCCAAAACTAGAGGATCTACTTTCGCAAAGAGATTTCACCGGCGCCATTACCCTATTGGAGGTAATGTCCAAAGAAGGTTTACTTTTAAGTCTGGTGGATGTCGGGGTGAATGCTGGTTACTATGCTATTGGAATAGGTGGGGACATTGTGGGGAATCCATGTAAATATAGCCAGACACATATTCCACCTTGAAAATTAACTATAAACCTGATAAAATATAAAAAAATTTTGGACTGGAGGATGGCTGAACCGGACAGTGGTAACGCATGCCTTTAATTCCAGCACTTGTGAAACAGAGGCAGGCGGATCTCAGTGACTTACAGGCCAGCCTGGTCTACAGGGCGAGTTCCAGGATAGGTTCCAAAGCCACACAGAGAAGCCTTGTCTTGAAAAACGAAACAAACAAAAAATAGATGAAGACAAAATACTCATACACTTAAAATTAGTTTTTTTTTCTAGTCCCACAGATGGTGAATCTAACCCAAAAATACAGTATTACACATAATACAATGTCAATTCACACATTGTTTATCGTAATTGCTGGGTGATTTATAACTCCTTTATATTTATAATATTTTGCTTAAAAATTAAGTCACTGTACCACGTTTAGTTTAAAAAATTTTGTAAACCCATAAAACATTTCACCTCTGTACATCAGTGTCCTCTCTTTCTAGAACCATAGCTGGGGGTCATCCTCAGGCCTCAAGGAAGCATTGTGCCACAGGTCTACGCCCCAGACAAGCCGCAGTGTGTAGACCGCACCTTTGGATGTGCACTGGAGGCGCAGGGTAGTTACTTAGATGTTTGTGTTCCCGGGCTGCTCCTTTACCATTTGAATTCACTAGGTCTGCTGTGCTGCTCAGGAAGCTGCATTTGGGGTGAGTGATGTGAGAAGCGTTCCGGACACAAACTGTCCTGGGAGACTGAACTTTGAGAAGCTGCATGTGGAAAGCACACGGTAGAGAAGGGTGAAGGGTACACAGAGGATAAAGTAAAGGGTCTTGACAGCAAGGTCTGGCTGTACTGTGCTACAACCTGCTATATTGCATTTCCCCTGGCCCTTTAATGTAAATATATTGTGCATCTCTGGAACTGTCCGTAATAGTTGCTTTGATTAGCTTTATCCACGTTTCTAGGTATTCCTGTGTCTTACTAGTGCTGTGATATTGAGTACAATTATTTGGCTTTCTTGCGTCAGCCTAGCCTTTGTGGTAGTAGAGTTGACTTGCAGGGACTTTCTAGCAGTGAAAAATCAGAGGATGGAATGTCGTATACATTTCTATTTTGTTTTGTCTTTTCAAGACAGGGTTTCTCTGTGTAGCCCTGGCTGCCCTGGAACTTGATCTGTAGACCAAGCTGATATCAAACTTAGAAATCCATCTGCCTCTGCCTCTCCAAATTCTGGAATTAAAGATGTGTGCCACCTACTCAACTGCATGTCTATTTTTTCTAAAGAATTTATAAAGTGATGTGTAGTTGTTTGTGTCTGTATGTGGGTGTGTCTGCCTGAATGCAGGTGCCCAGAGGCCATAAGAACTGGATCCCTTGGAGCTAGAGTTACAGAAAGTTGTGAGCTGTCTTATGCCGGTTCTGAGAACTTAACTCAGGACCTCTAGAAGATCAGCAAATGCATATGTACACATAATTAAGAATAAAAATACCTGGGCTGATTAAAGATGAAAACAAAGCAAAATCGAAACAATACAAAACTTTTTTTGGCTTATAAATACAAGTGACTGTCCACACTGAGGGAAGGCAAGGCAGAAATTTGAAGTCAGGCCTGCTTGCAAGTCTCTATATAGTATTACCTCTGACTAAGGAATTGCTCTTCAACCAAAGTGGTGCTGTATTTTGGTTTGGGTCTTTTGAGAGAAGCTCCCTATGTAGACCAGGCTGACCTTAAACAACAGAGCAGGCTGATGGCGGGTGTGGAATAAGGTGCCACTGTAACAGACTCGTCTTGAATTCATAGAGCTCCACCTGCTTCTGCCTCCTGAGTGCTGGGATTAAGGTTGTGAGCCAGCATACCCAGCTAAGCATGTACCACTGTGCCCAGCTCCCTAAGCTGTTTTGCTCAGGACCTAATCACAACAATGAAATGAAAGTAGAAGGAGTGGTAATTGAGAACCCTTCTCAGTCCTTTCCTCGGAAGTAAAACTTACTTTTTGTTAGCCGAGGAATTGTTAAGTCTTTGTAGTGGACACAAACAAGAGTGGAACTCGCTCTGTAGAGCAGGCTGTCCTCAAACTCACAGAGATCTGCCTGCCTCTGCCTCCCGAGTGCTCGGATCAAAGGCGTGCGCCACCACCACCTGGATGGCTTTAAATGTTTTACATAATTCTTGAGTATCGTCCAGAATTATTGGCTAACTCACATACTTTCTGGAATAAGGTGCTAGCAAACACAGAAAAACAAATCCAACATGCCTGAAAAGAGGACTTCTGTGACAGTAGGGGACTGCTGGCTCCTGTCAGTGGACTCTTCATTGAACTGCATACTGTCCGGCTTCTATTGTTTAGCATTTTGCTTGTTTATCTGTTACTCAGCATTCCTAAACAAAATAAAAACTGGAGAGATTGCTTAGCAGTTAAGATCAGAGGCTGCTTCCCCAGAAGACCGGGGTTCAAATCCCAGCATCTACATGGCAGCTAACAGCTCTCTATAACTCCAAAATCTGACACTTTCACATAGACATACATGCAGGTAAAACACCAATGGGCATAAAATAAAAATAAATAAATAAATTGCAAACAAGGCATTTGCTACTAAAATCTTTTGTTGTGATTTTCTTTTCATGACATTTTAATGAGAAGTTCAAACGCCACGTGGGAGAGCAGGAAGACGACACTAACTTGTGGATTGGATACTGCGCTTTTCACCTGGGCGACTACAAGAGAGCTCTGGAGGTCAGTGAGAGACAGCCCTACAGTGTCTCAAATGGCATCACATACTCAGGGTAGCAGCAGAAGGAGATAATGCAGATGCAAACAAAGGAAAAAGAAAGAAATTGATCACTATCTTCCCCAACCCTGTAGTGATTCAGAGACGGGTGGGGAGGCTAACAGCACACATGGGATATTGTTGCGGGGATCTTTCTGGAATAAGCACTATGACCCATCTGGAAGAGAGGAAACGCCACTGGAAGACTGAAGCCAGAAAGCTTCTGACGGACTTCCATCCCAGATCTGGCTTGGGCTCTCACTTCCTGCAAACTGTAAAGGTGCTGGCTAGTGAGGGAGGTTTTGTAAACAGTGTGGTGGCACTCGGTGACAGCCTGCCGGTTGTCAGGGGCAACAGCCTGTCATTGCAGCTGTGCAAGTGAAGTCATGCCTGGCAGATAGCCTTACAAGCCATGCTGTAAGCAAGTCACTAAACAAATAATGTGATTGGTCTTTTCTGTCCTACTCAGTATGACAGCAGGAGGGGAAATCAAGTGGGGCGGAGTGTTGAGAGGCACGCGGCCATGGGGTTCAGAGGCAGGCGGAGTGCCGAGGCCGCCCTGGGGGTTCAGAGGCAGGCGGAGTGCCGAGGCCGCCCGCCCTGGGGGTTCAGAGGCAGGCCACAGGGACAGGTGACAGGTGGGGGGTGTCGAAGGAGTGCTCCAGGGAACCTGCTGGTTTGTGAGTTAGTTCAAAAAAAAAAAAAAAGAGAGACAAATATTCTGCCCAGCTTCACACTTTGCTATATAACATACAAACTAAAACGCTCGTACGAAAACCCATAAAACAAAGAGCATGTGTAGCATTCCAGTATGTTTGAATATTTAATACTTTGTTAGTATTATTTTTGTATAATGGAAGTTATTATTGTGAAATGGTTTTAAATGAAATCCAAGAAGTAACTATACAAATGGGAAGACTTTTATCTATGGACTGGCATGTGAGTCTGGATCTTACTCGCCCTTCACTTTTACATGAGAGCCTTTATAACATATTAGTATCAGCACAAGCCTGAACCCAGGGCCCCTCGTGTGCCAGGTGAACATTTTGCCTTTGAGCTATACCTCTGCTTTTATATTTCTTTCTAAATGTTTTTAGGTTTATTTACTTTATGGATATGAGTGTTCGCCTGCATGCATGTATGTGAACCAGATGCGTGCCTGGAACCCGCAGAGTCCAGAAGAGGACACTGGATCTCCTGGAACTGGAGTTACAGATGATTGTAAGCCATCATGTGGGTGCTAGGAATCGAACCTGGGTCCTCTGCAAGGACAGCAAGAGATATTTTAATTGTTTTAATTTCTGAAGGTTTCTAAGACACGTTAAAAATGAGGGGGAAACAAAGTGTAAATTCTGTGTCCAGGAGCCCTGTCTGGGTGTAATTACATGTGAGCCTAACCTCTTCTGGCAGAGAATGCCGAGCTGATGCAGCGCCCCCAAGGTGTAGCTGCTTTGCCAGTGAGCACTGGTCTCCCACTTTAGAACAGACAATGATTGTCTCTTTCAGGAATATGAAAATGCAACCAAGGAGGAGAATTGCAACCCAGAAGTGTGGGTGAACTTGGCCTGCACCTACTTTTTCCTTGGGATGTATAAGCAAGCAGAAGCTGCTGGCTTTAAAGGTAAAATGGTCTTTTACAGATCACCTTTGCTGTAATGTCTCTGTCCGTTGTTATAACCACGGAGCCGGCCTGGTCTACATAGCAGGGCCCAGGGTAGCCAGGGCTACACAGACAGACCTTGGTCCCCCCCAACCACCACCAAAATAAATTGTTAGGTAAAATGGATTCATATTTATATGTATAAAACTTACCCATTTAAAAAAGAAAATGGGGAACTTGAAACCATTTTTAATTTTTAATTTGTACCCCATTTTTCATATGTGCTAGTGTAATTTTTCCAAAAGTAATCATCATGTCCTTTAGAGTACTGTCTGTTTCTTTTTTTTTTTTTTGGTTTTTCGAGGCAGGGTTTTTCTGTATTGCTTTGGATCCTGTCGTGGAACTTGTTCTGTAGACCAGGCCAGGCTGACCTTGAACTCACAGAGATCTGCCAGCCTCTGCCTGGGACTAAAGGCGTGCGCCCCCAGTGCCCAGCTCAGTAACTGTTTCTAAGAGTTTGTACTGAGAAGACTGTTAGGCACAGAAAGGTCTCACACAGCCAGCTTCATTTCCATACACGCTTGTGCACGCGCACGCGCGCGCGCGCACACACACACACACACACACACACACACACACACACACACACCTTTTTCATTTTTTGTGCACCGAAGTATGATTTTGCTCTGTACAGGAGACACAGATTTGGTTGTCCAGAACTGGAAAACTGAAAAGACTGTAAGCACTGGAACTTGAAGGGTGTTAGTCTTTTCCCTTGGGTGCCTGTTCAAAGGTGGCACTTCACTGCGGTAGAGGGTCCCTGGAGTAGTAGACTGCACTGGTGTTTAGGGAGCGGGACACTATAACTCTGGAATTAGGAAAGTGTGTGCCGGTTTAATGCTGGAGATGGAGATTGCAGGAGGAGTTGAGAAAACACTGCAGTGAGCAGCAAAATGTGGTGGCTGCGCGGGGACTGTGGGGTGACATAACGAGGGTTTGGTTTCGTGTGACCGCACAGAGCGGGGCTGCACTGTGTGCGTGTGGAGTGTTGTGCTGTGGGAAGACACCACAGCAGCATCCATCCGGTAGAAGTGTGGAGAGCAGATGCTCTGCTGCTGCTGCTGCTGCTCCTGCAGGTGGGGACCACACCTTATTCTAGCAGACACACATACAGCCAGACAAGGGTTTGGGCAACCCACCAGAGTTCATCTTGTGGCAAGGGACTAACTTTCACAGACTATTGGTTGATTTTTTGTGAGCGCTTTGCCTGCATGTGCTCCTGGAAGCCAGAAGAGGGCACCAGATCTCCTGGATCAGAGTCATGAACACTTGTAAACTTGTGAGTGCCGAGAACTGAACCTGGGTCCTCTGCAGGAGCAGCGAGTGCTCGGAACCTTGGAGCCAGCTCTGCAGACCAACTATTGAACTCTTTACCAAGCAGCATGGTTCTTTTTCTTTCAGCTCCAAAGAGCCGGCTCCAAAACCGCCTGTTGTTCCATCTGGCTCACAAGGTACTCATGTTCTTATCCACATGCTCGCTTTAAAAACGTTCTCCTCTTCAGCCTTTTGCCAACAGTGTTGGAAAGTATTTAACTAGACATTTCTGTTAACGTTACTAAATTGTTTTACAGAAAGTTAATCAGTCTCAAACAGGTAGCATATGAAAGTATATTTGATGCATTTAAGAATTTCACAGTATAATTGTTATTACCACTGTTAGGAATGCGGCTGGAGGTGGGGCCTTCAGTGCATTCTGCAGCGGGTGAGGGGAATAATACCAGGTGGGACGGGACAGACGGGGACCTGCAGGGGACCTTTCTGTGGAAAGGTCATTGGTGGACGGTCAGGGAGTAAGGATAGAGAAACGAGAAAGGGGGAGAGAGAGGCAGAGAGCTGCCTTCTCAGAGGAAAGAGAAGAGACAGAGACGGTAGGTGCAGTTGTTACCTTAAAGAGACCTCTGCACCCGCGCACAGAACTTGTCATGTGTACAGAGGCATTGTGCCAAGTTCCCAAGGGGCGTGGCCAGGAGTATTATAATTACAGAGTTAAGAATTAAACCCAGGGCTGGGCAGCGGTGGCGCATGGCCTTTAATCCCAGCACTGGGAGGCAGAGGCAGGTGGATCTCTGAGAGGCAGGTGGATCTCTGAGTTTTTAGGCCAGACTGGTCTACAAAGTAAGTTCCAGGATGCTCAGGGCTACACAGAGAAACCCTGTCTCAAAAAACCAACAATTACACCTAGGGTCTTGTGCATGATAGTCAAATGCTTTGCCACTGAGCTGTATCCAGCACCCTTGGCTTTTTAAGGTATCATCTCACTATGTTGTACAGGCTGGTCTGAAACTTGCTGCGTAGCCCAAGGTGACTCAAACGTGCAGGCTTCCCGCCTTAGCCTCCCAGCTGTTGGGGTTAAAGGCGTGCATCACCACACCCAGGTCCAGGGCTTCTGGCTGATTGCTTGTTTCTGTTTGTCCCAAATGATCAAAATTCTGCCTTCTCTCCTTTCTGGTATTCTTGAATTAGTTTTTAAAAATTGCATATTTGTCCCCTGCTAGCTTGTTATTATGACTATTTTATAGCATTTAGAAGTACTATAGCATATGCCATTTACACTACTGCAGTTCTTTTGGTTGTTGAGGGTTTTATATTTTCGGTTTGTTGTGTTCCTCGTAGGACATCAATAATGTTTCTGCACAAATAGTTTGTTTAATTATGTCATAGGTAAATGCTTCTATTTTCTTTCTTTTTTTGGTTTATGTTTTTCAAGACAGGGTTTCTCTGTGTAGAACTGACTGTCCTGAAACTCACTCTGTAGACCAGGCTGGCCTCAAACTCAGAGATCTGCCTGCCTCTGCCTCTGAGTGCTGGGTTTAAAGGCGTGTGCCACCGACATCCAAAAAATATACATGCTTTTTGAGGAAATTTCTTACTAATTTTGCTGAAATCATGTCTAATCATTTATTAAATCCATTAGTTCTTCATTTCGGTTGTGCTCCTTTCCAGAGTTTATATTTTAATTGAGGGTGGGGCACAGTCCCTCAGTAGCACTTCACCTCCTTGAAGAGGCAGGGCCCTGCTTCTTAGCACCCCCTCTCTCAGGCACTGCTCTGTTGCTGGGAAGAGACACCGCGACCATCATGGCGAAGGCAGGCGGGCCTGGCACGGCCACTGTAGCCGAGAGCTCTACGTCCTGCTCAGTGGCAGCAGCCACACAAAGTCCAGGCTTGGGCTTGTGAAACCTCGAAGCTCACCCCTAGTGTCTCATCCATTCCACCGCCACACGTACTCCCACAAGGCCACACCTCCTAGTCCTTCCCAACAGTTTCAGTGAATGGGGACTGTGGGGCCACTCTGACTCAAGCCAGCGCCCCCTCTGAAGGCTGTCCCCGTCAAGCCAGCGCCCCCTCTGAAGGCTGTCCCAGTCAAACCAGCGCTCCCACTGAAGGCTGTCCTTCAGCGCCTGCTGTTTGAAGCAGATCCTTTAAAGGACGATTTCAGTAGGCAGGAGAGAAGGCGCAGCTGTTAGGATTTCAGCAGGAGAGAAGGCGCAGCTGTTAGGATTTCAGCAGGAGAGAAGGCGCAGCTGCTAAGGGCACTTGTTGCGGAGGACCTGCGTTTGGTTCCCAGCACCCACCCGTGTGGCAGCTCACGGTTACGGTCTGGGCCGTGACCCAGTTCCCGAGGGTCCAGTGTCCTCCTTGGCCTCCCAAGGGCACTGGATGCACAGAGATGTTTGCTGGGAATCACCCACACATATGAAATTAGCATAAAGGAATCTTTTTAAAAATAAAGACTGGAAGCACCGGGGGAGTGAATACTCTGTATCAGGAGTTACATACAAAATGTATCAATTCAATGCTATGTAGAAACGAAGGCAGTTGTTATTTATAACTTTTTTTTCTTGAGACAGGGTTTCTCTATGTAGCTTTAGGAACTTGTCCAGGAACTCAGTAGACCAGGCTGACCTCGAACTCACAGAGATCTGCCTCCCAAGTGCTGGGATTAAAGGCGTGCGCCACCACAGGGCTATAACTACCTTATAATAAAATAAACATAAAAGTTGAATTCTCATAGTGTAAAACAAGAACTCCACATGTGGTAACTGAAGAGAAGATAAAAACACCTAGAACAGAAAATACAAAATTGTGTTCATAAAGTTACATGATGACAAATACATTTTGATTACATACTATTCATCAAAGAAAAAGATAGAAAAAAATGGGAAAGAATTGTTCAGGGATGAGGGCAAAGAAAAGTAAAAAAAAAAAAAAAGAAAAGAAAAGAAAAGAAGAAAAAGGAAAGATAGAGAAACATAAGGAGAAGAGATGCGTAGGGTGGAGATATGAAGTAATTAAGGATAACTGTAACTTACGGCCTTTCCATTGCCAAGGCTCTGTCTCCAGAGATGGCTTGCATCCTTCTCCTTCTCCGCAGCTGGACAAAGAGATGGGGAGCTGGAGGGAGTGGGGACACAGTGGCCAGTGAGGAATTCAGACCTTCATCACATGAGTGTCCCTCACACCAACGTGGGCCTTTTCTCACAATTGTAGTTTAATGATGAGAAGAAATTGATGAACTTTCATCAGAATCTTCAGGATATCAAAGAAGACCAGCTTAGTTTGGCCTCAATCCACTACATGCGATCCCATTACCAGGAAGCCATTGATATATACAAGCGGATACTGCTGGATAACAGGTCTGTGTTCTTTCTTGCCCTCTCGAAATCGCAGCCCGCTCACTGTTCACTAGTTTCCATCGTATCTAATTTGGCTACAAACCAGGTGTCCTCTGGACCCATTACCACCACGTACATCTTCAAGTCTGTTTCACTGATAATCTGATCCAGTTAAGAACTCCTTGGGTATTGCTGACATCGGATTCTCTCTACCCTTTTTCTTTGGTTGCTAAATATATTCTAATAAAATATTCTAATAAAAACTTTTATCAAAGAGAAGTATATCAAAGCTAGTTTAAAGACACTCAAATAGTATAACTCAGGGGGGAAATGCACTAATGATGTCTTGCTTTCTTCCTTCCCGGGCAGATTCTCGCCCCCTCTTTGCCTTATTGTTCATTTGAGTCTGCAGTTAGACATTTAATATAATATGACAGAGGGATTCTACTTTTCCTTAAAGATATTAGAACTGATTGGATTCAGACTGACTGTACATACTTAGTCTATGAACGTTAAATAACAAACTTCTTTTCACACACTTACTTGTTTTCCTTTAGAAATGAAAACTGTATGAGGTAGATTCCCCAAAGAATTTATATAGAACACATTTGTTCCCTTATGAGAATTGTGTCCAGTACCCTTCCAAGTCAGATGTGTAGTTCCTTTTCTTGTAAGCATGCTGCATCCCCTGTCCCTCATTCTCTCTCACTGTTATCACATTACTTCTGTAGTACAAGACTCGCCCAGTTGATACATGACCTTGAATTGATAAAGCGGTGATTATTTAGTACTCCAGATTAAAACTGGGAGAGAATCAAATGAATTTGTCAGTAATAAAGGAAGATGTTTTGAAACCGTTTGGTTGTATCAGGGATCAGCGTCTGAGATACACCTCAACTTGAGTCTTTGTGCTAACAGGGAGTACCTGGCCCTCAATGTTTATGTGGCCCTCTGCTACTACAAATTGGATTACTATGATGTGTCTCAAGAAGTCCTGGCCGTTTACCTTCAGCAAATCCCGGATAGCACTATCGCGCTCAACCTCAAGGCTTGTAATCACTTTCGTCTGTACAACGGCAAAGCAGCTGAGGTAGGCATGTGCATGCGTTTCTAATTAGTCCTGTTCTAATGGGAGTTAGCCCATCAACTCCAGGGTCTACAGCTCCGTAGTAATGTCCTTCGGTTAATGTCCTTCGGTTAGTGCCAGCATAACCAAGTAATTGTACAAGCATTCTTTCTGAAACGAGGTCTCACTACTTAGCTCTGGCTGGCCTCCAACTCCCTGTGTAGACCTCGCCAGATGTGCCTGCCTCTGCCTCTGCAGTGATGGCATTAAAGGTGTGCCACAGAATACCTTCTTTTTTAAAATTAAAAAGGAACTTAATTTCTCAATGATCTGTGTTGTATCTAGTATATTTTAGATAGTTTTACCTAACTGACACATAATAATATAAATATAATGTAAATGTTTAAAGCCAATGCTTCAGCTCCCCCTCTAAAGTCTCCTCAAGGCTCTACGGTTGCCCGTCAACCCTGTGTGTCTGTCCAGTAAGCAGATATTAGAAACCCAAGAAATCCATCCCTTCCTCCCTCCCTCGTGTCCAGGTCACACCCACTACTTCCCATGCGTCACAGCTTCTAGACGCCTCTCCCTCCCTCTCTCCCTCTCTCCCTCTCTCTTCCTCTCTCCCTCTCTCTCCCTCTCTCTCCCTCTCTCTCCCTCTCTCCCTCTCTCCCCTCTCTCTTCCTCTCTCTCTCTCTCTCTCTCTCTCTCTCCCTCTCTCCCTCTCTCTCCTCTCTCTCTCTCCTCTCTTCCTCTCTCTCTCTCTCTCTCTCTCTCTCTCTCTCTCTCTCTTCCTCTCTCTCTCTCTTCCTCTCTTCCTCTCTCAGTGTCCACTGGACATGCAAACCTGTACAGTTGATGGTCTGGTGAAGTCTTCTCCTCAGATGTTGTTTAGATCAGGCTTCTCTGTGTTTTCTTTCTTCATTATTGCCTTCTTAGACATGTGTTCCTCCCATTTGTCCTATTTGGTGTCGGGCCAAGTCATCAGAGGTCTTACTGAGAGATGTGGGTGCCTCAAGCTCCTTACCCTCTCACCTCAGTCTCCTAAGTGTAGCTTGTGCAGGTAGTAACATCTGTGAACCTCATAAACCTTCCAGGTCCAAAATGGCTTATGTGACTTTTTCCCTTTAGGACCTGTCTTCTCTTCACTTTAAAAAAAAAAAAAAAAATTGACCAGGTATTTTTGTGTAGCCATAGATGCCCTAGACCAGACTAGCCACAAACTCACAGAAATCCACCAGCCACTGCCTCTTGAGTGCTGGGATTAAAAGCATACACCACCGCTGCCCAGCTTAGTGTAAAATGTGCAATAATCCCCCTATTCTAGTTGTTTTCAGTAAGAACATTAAACTAAATAATGTCCAATAATTTGAAAGTGTGGTCTGAGGTCACTGGGTCCCTAAAGCTCTGCGGAGTGTGTGAGACAGGCTCGGGCTTGAATGGGGCGGGAAGCTGCCTGGGCCGCGTTGGCTCTCTCACCATGCGCACCAAGTGAGCGACCCCTCAGATGCTGTCCTTGGGCAGCTCACTTGTCACCCGTTGTACTTTCTGGCCCTGCCACAGGGATCCTCTGTAAGCCAGGTACAAAGAGGCTTCTGGAGGCAGATGCAGTGTGGGGAGCACAGAATCACATGCTAGGTGGATGCGGTGCTGAGGTTGCAGCCGTAGGAGAGCCCAGAGCAAGCGAGACTGGCCAATTATCTAAGAACAGGCGGGATAATTTGTGTAATATAAGTGAACAGAGCTTGTGTAATGGAATCTTATCTGAGAGAAAAAGTATTTCCCTTGCCTCAGAAGATCATGGACAGAACATCCTAAAATGCATTACAAAGTTCTGGAGAACAGAATGTCTTTTATGATTTCGAAATAATCATGAAGGAAGAAATAATCCCATGTCATTATTGTGTGCTGGGGGTGCAGTGACTTTTTCAGGGCTGTGTTTGAAGTAAACATGAAAGAGATGACATGATGGAGGTGTTGCCATTAGTAACTTGTTCTGCAAAGTAGTAAGAGCATCCCTGCCTTCTTCCTTCTTTCCTTCCTTCCTTCCCCCTTCCTTTCTTCTTCCTTCCCTCCTTTCTTCCTTTTTTCCTTCCCTCCTTCCTTCCCCCTTCCTTTCTTCTTCCTTCCTTCTTGTCTCCTTCCTTCCTTTCTTTGTTTAGTTTTTAAAGACAGGATTTCTCTGTGTAGCCCTGACTGCCCTGGAACTCACTCTGTAGACCAGGCTGGCCTCGCACTCACAGAAATCCACCTGCTTCTGCCTCCTGAGTGCTGCGATTAAAGACTTGTGCCACCACCACCTGGCTCACTAATAATTTTTAGAGATTTTTATTAAACTTTGTTTTGTTTGTTTGTTTTTAAGACAGGGTTTCTCTGTGTAACTGGCTCCTGGAATTCTCTATGTAAACCAGGCTGGCCTTGAACCCAGAGATCCTCCAGCCTCCCAAGTGCTAGGATTAAAGGCATGCGTCATCACCTCCTGACTATTTGTTTTTTAATGTCAGGGTCTCACAATATAGACCTGGCTGTCCTGGAACACCCTGTGTAGACAAGGCTGGTCTCAAACTCACAGAGAGCTGCTTGCCTCTGCTTCCTAAGAGCTAGAATTAAACACCTGCACTACTAAGCCCAGCTTAGTAAACATTTTTTAAAATCTTTCTTTTTAAGGATTTATTTATTTATTACATATGCAGTATTCTGTCTGCATGTTATGACTGCATGCCAGAAGAGGGCACCAGATCTTACTACAGATGATTGTGAGCCACCATGTATTTGCTGGGAATTCAACTCAGGACATCTAGAAGAGCAGCTAGTGCTCTAAACTGCTGAGCCATCTCTCCAGCCATATGTTTTCTTATCTTTAGACTTTATGTGTACATTATATGTGTGTATACATGTGTGCACATTGTACAAGTAATGTCAGTGTACAAGTTGCAGAAATCTATTCTTTTCTATTGTATAAATTTTGGGATTGAATTTAGACCTTCAGGCTTGGTCACATGAATATTTATTTATTGTATACGTGCATTTGTGCATGCAAGCGCATGGTGCATGCAAGCGCATGGTGCATGCAAGCGCATGGTGCATGCAAGCGCATGGTACATGGTGTGTGTGCCGTGGTTAGAGGATAGCTTTTGGGAAGTCAGCTCTCCCCTCCCACCTCATTGTTTTTTCTCTCTGCTGCTGTGCTGCACGCTTCTGCTTCCTGTCGTTATACTGCTTCTGCCTGCCATCTCACCGCAGGGGTGCGGGGCTGCCGCTGCAGAGGGCTACACAGAGGGACCTAAAAAGAGACCTGAATAAACAGAACAACAAAATAAACCTTAAGAATGGGAACTATGTGCTTATTACCTTGGTAACGCTTTCTTTTTTACATTTTAGGCAGAACTCAAAAGCTTGATGGACAATGCCTCTTCTCCCTTTGAATTTGCTAAAGAACTCATCAGGCACAATCTGGTGAGTAAGTCCCCACCTTGATGTCTTGAGTCCTATTTTGATAATTCACAGCCACTAAAGATGAGTAAAAGGAGATTCCCCAGCAAACATGGCACTATTCCAAGGAATGCCTGGCTCCTGTGGAAGGCATGAAATGGGTTTCTTATACCTGCCTGTCTTTCTCCTTAGGGACCCTCTCATTGGGAGGACAGATGTGGGTCATAATTGGAAAGAAGGGCCAGGCAAGGCAGACCCACGTCTCCCTTGTCCCTGGGGAAAAGGCAGAGGAACATACCCTCGTGGGTTGTCATAAGTAGGGATGACTATTTCATCTTCGAAGGCAGGCTGAGTCTTTGAGGGTTCATTCTCATCCGAGACATGACTCTGAAAGTGTGACATGTAAGATGACAGAAGATGATTGGACCAGTGCTGTAAATTCACACTGGAGAAAGTGGAAAGTAAAGCTGGATGAGTAATAGGTTTTGGGCTAGATTATGATGGCCGTTTCTTAAAATGAATCTAAGCTCAGATGAAGTTGTATTCTAGCAACCATGCAACATAATGAGATGCAGACTGTGTGTTTCCGAGCCAGATACTTGGAGCACTAAGCAAATGATGTTGTGTGGTGGTCTGCTTCCTCATCTAAAAACAGAGGCAACAAAAACTACAGCTTCTGTCTCTGCTTTGTTTCATCTTCCTCCTCTTCTTCTTGAGACAAGACCTTTGGTTTTTTGAGACAGGATTTCTCTGTGTAGCTTTGGAGCCTGGAACTCGATTTGTAGACCAGGATGGTCTCGAACACACAGAGATCTGCCTGCCCCTGTTTCCTGAGTACTGGTATTAAAGGCATGTGCCACCACCACCTGGCAAGACAAGATCTTACTACGTAGCCCTAGCTGGCCTGGAACTCTCCATATAGACCAGGCTGGCCTGGAAATCACAGAGATCCATCACAGAGATTAAAGGCATATGCTACCACACTCAGCCAAGCCTACTTTTTGAGGTCATGTGTGGAATTTTACACTCCTGGCATCAGCAGAAACACTCAGACATTTCTGGTTCTGGGTGTGTTCAACCTGTTGTAACCCCAGCCTCTGCCTGCTGATCCAGCTTTTAACTTTTCTGTGCAACATGCATCATCTCATGGAGTACTGCCACCATGTTAAAGACTGCAGTGTCAGACCACAGAGAAGCACAGGACAGCCACCCCGAGGACATTTGAGAGTGACATGTGAGAGTGAGTCTAGCAGGGTGCTGGGAGCAGAAGACACACTTGGAGGAGGCTAAGGAGCCTCAGGGTGTGAGGGATTAGTAGTCAGCCACAGCTTTTCAAGTTTAGCGTTGAAAGGAAAAAAAAAAGGACATTCTCCAGAAGGCACAAGTAGAGATTTCACACGAGAACAAAAGCTCCTGTGTGTGCTTAAGTTGGGAAGTAGGGCTGTTGCTCTGGGAAGACAGAACACAGTGATTAATGGAGAAATGGAGTTACAGTCTTAGGATCAAGGAAGCAGATGACATCTCCTTGTTAAAGGAAGGGACATAAAAAGGAGCCAGAAAACATCATGAAAACGAATATTCTGAGGGAAAAAATGATGTGGCTCATCCCCAGTGACCTTAGTTTCAGTGTACTTGTAGACAGTATACTGTGCTCTGAACACTTGGTAGTGTGAGCAAATTGTTTGAATTTTATTACATTATTTCGCCTGTGTATGTGTGGTAAGTGCTGAAATTGACAGTGTGGATCCTGGGGGCTGAACTCAAGTTGTCCACCCTGAAGGCACTGGCCTTTATCTGCTCAGCCATCTCACCGGGCTGCTTTTGTGTTTTAACTTTATAACCCTTATCAACTGACAGCATACTTGTTTGCTTGTCTTTCACATTTTTAGTCACTTGTGGGAGTTAATTCTCTACTTCTGTCGTGGGTCCCTTCCCCGTTGAGTCATATCACCAGCCCTCGTTTGCTTCCCGGGGGCCTCTCCATACTTGAATAACTTATGAGGCTGCAGGGGAGTGAATTGGTCCTGCCGTAACCCCAATCCCTACTATGGGAGCAGGCATGTAGGTACTAATGAATATTTGTAGAATTAAATTACCTACTATTGCCACACAGCCCATTTTAACTCATTCCATTAATAAAATTATTGTTGGAAAACGAAGGAAACAGGCTCTGAAAAGTTATAGAAATGTCATATGGGCTCAGCACTTTTGTAATGCTGAGGTGACACGGTTTCCCTGCAAAGCTCAATGTGGTCTTGAACTGGCACCCCTTACGTCTGCCTCCTGAGTGGGCCCCTTAGCACTTCCAGTGGCGGCCATACGCACCCGTGATGCCACAGTAACGCTCTGTCTTTGTGCAGGTTGTTTTCCGAGGAGGTGAGGGGGCTTTGCAGGTTTTACCTCCCTTGGTTGACGTCATTCCTGAAGCTAGGCTAAACCTCGTGATTTACTACCTTCGCCAAGGTAAGGAAAATTTGTCCGGTTCTGACTTATGAAGAAAGATATTTAGAATAGTTGATTTTACTGAACTAGTTGTACACATTTTAAATGTATAACACTTCCAAATACATATTTGCGACATGGTCGTGAAAAAACAAATTTCATGATACGTGATAGCCGCGCCTTTTCCTCTCCCTCCCCTCCCCCCGCCTCCCCCCCCTGCCGCTGCTCCCCCCCCCCCCCCCCCCCCCCCCCCCCCCCCCCCCCCCCCCCCCCCCCCCCCCCCCCCCCCCCCCCCCCCCCCCCCCCCCCCCCCCCCCCCCCCCCCCCCGCCCCCCCGCTGCTCCCCCCCTCCCGCCGCTCCCTCCTCCTCCCGCTGCTTCTCCTTGCTGCGCTGCCCTCTCTATCAATTTCCTTTGGGGTCTTCAATTCAATTTTTTTTCTTTTCTTGATAACATTGACACTAACAATGTTATCATTCAAGGATTTTTTGTTTTGTTTTGTTTATTTGGGACAGGGTTTCTCTGTGTAACAGGCTGTCCTGGAATTCGCTCTGTAGACCAGGCTGACCTCGAACTAGCTGAGCTCTGCCTGCCTCTGCCTCCCGAGTGCTGGGATTGGAGGTGTGGCCACCATGCCCGGCCCCAGCCTGTGCTCTTAACTTGAGCATTTTTTAGGTGTCTTGTGGCTCAGTGTCAGTTTCCTAAAGATGATGTTTTTCCTGGGCCAGGGTTCGACTCAGTCCTTAACACGGTTCCCTGGAAAGCCAGGAGGACCTGAGTTCCAGCTCCAGAACTCATGTGAAAATGCCAGCTAGTGTCATGCGTGTGTGACCACAGCACCGGGGAGGTGGAGGCTGAAGGGTCCCTGGGGCTCTCTGGTCAGCCAATCCAGCCTAATCCGTCTCATCTAATCGGTCTCATGCATTTTTTTGAAAAGAAAAATACCAGTTTTCTTTAGGAAAAGTAAAAACCATCAACTTAATAGAGAACTAAAGGTCAGGTAAAACATATTTCTCTCTCTCTGTGTGTTTGTGTGGTGTGTGTGTGTGAGGTGTGGTGTGTGAGGTGTGGTGTGTGTGTGTGAGGTGTGGAGTGTGTGTGTGAGGTGTGGAGTGTGTGTGTGTGTGAGGTGTGGTGTGTGTGTGAGGTGTGGTGTGTGTGTGAGGTGTGGAGTATGTGTGTGTGTATATGTGTGTGAGGTGGTGTGTGTGTGTGTGAGGTGGTGTGTGTGTGTGGTGTGTGTGTGTGAGGTGTGGAGTGTGTGTGTGCGTGCGTGTGTGTGTGAGGTGTATGTGTGTGTGAGGTGTGGTGTGTGTGTGTGAGGTGTGGAGTATGTGTGTGAGGTGGTGTGTGTATGTGTGTGAGGTGGTGTGTGTGTGTGTGCGCGCGCGCGCGCATGCTCACACGTGTGGCCTTGCATCTGCTGTAAAGGCACTCTATTACTAAGCTGGCCCCTACCTATTTTGTATGAATATTTGAATACTGCACACTCACTTTGCTAGTGACTGTGTGAGAGAATTTTGTTGAAATACAAGCTCAGATAATGACTAATTTCTTACATTGCAGATGACGTACAGGAAGCTTATAATTTAATCAAGGATCTGGAGCCGACGACGCCTCAGGTAATTGGAAATGCTGAGTTCCAGTTAGGTAAGTGCTGTGCACACAGCACTGGAGGCAGACGTGCTGCTGTACGCATGTCAGAGAAGATGTCATTGTAGTATACATCGATTGTTTGGGGGGGCTTTAGTGTGAGAATGAATGTTCTGGGCTTTTATAAAGTATGTGGTTCAAGTCCCTTACTATCTGTTTGATTCCTAAAGAGATCTAAAGTTTGAAAATATTAAAATCTGTTTGGAAAACTTAAATCTGTACTTCTAATGAAATGAACTACGCAGATACTCTTTGTCACGATGTAAGAGTGTGTAACTTGTCTCTTCCCTCTGTACGTTGTCCATTCTCTGCAGTCAGGGCCTGGGTCTCTCTTGTATCTCCGACACTGTGTGCTGAGTACATAGTAAGCATCCCTTCACTGAGTACAGGACTGGAGGGCGCCGGCAAGGTGGCTTAGTGGGTAAAGCTCCTGCCGTCAAGCCGGACAGCCAGGGTTCAGTCCTTGGAATCCACATGGTGGAAGGAAACCCACAAATGAACTCTGACCTCCACATGCGTGCTGTAGCGCGTACACATACCCACGAGCACATGTGAGCGCACACACACTAAATAAATGTTAAAAAAAATAAAGAATGAAAAAAATACTGACAACTACTTCCTGAGCAGATGGAGTCTAAACAAGTCTTTTTCTCAAGGGAACTGAAGGCTCCAGAGTCTTTACCACTTAGGGCAGTCATGACACGGCTAAGGAAAGTATTATTAAAACGTTAGCAGAGACTGAAAGCACTGGGCTGCAGATGAGACCACAGGACTCCAAAAGAGAGCGCATCTTACCAGTGGGTATCAGATGTCCTCTTTTTCCTTTAGGAAAAGGACCAAAACATGGTTGTTGTGACATTGGAAACAGGGAATGATGTGTATGTAGTAGTTATTTTCCCACAAGCAGTATCTCTCCTGTTCTTGGAGACAAGGTCGCTCACTGGCCTGGGACTCGCTGATTGGGCTCGGCTGGCTTGGAGACAAGGTCGCTCACTGGCCTGGGACTCGCTGATTGGGCTCGGCTGGCTTGGAGACAAGGTCGCTCACTGGCCTGGGACTCGCTGATTGGGCTCGGCTGGCTTGGCCTAACAAGCCCCAGGGATGTGCTTGTTTCCACCGCTCCAGCACTGTGATTACATGTGGTTTTTCCATGGGTCCTGGACCCGGATTGAACTCAGGTGCTCATGCTACATGGCAAGTCCTTTGCCGACTGGGCCGTCTCCCTGGCCTCCACTGAGTTTTTCCCTTAGGACTGAACGTTTGCAATGATGAACTCTGTTATATGAGCACTTGCCTAGCAAAGGTCAAACTGGACCCCACACCCTTCCATAAGCCAGGGTATACAGAGAAAGGCAGTGAGCATGTGAAGTAGGGTCGGTGGAAGGGCCAGTAGCAAAGCCCACACTAGTTTATGGTGTGATTGTGTTTTTCCAGGAGTATATTCTCAAGGGAGTTGTTAATGCAGCCCTCGGCCAGGAAATGGGTTCGGTGAGTATGAAATCATCAGTAATCCATACTTTGCAAAGTTCTGGTTATTGAAAACCGGGGTGGGTGATGATGTGTAACCAGTAACAAGCTTACAGTCGCTGGGTTCTGCAGGTCCTTGTGCTTTCTTGTTGGAAGTGGGATGCTTGGGAGCAAAGCCTTAAGCTGGGGAGATACTCGCCACATCCTCAGCCCTTCAGTTCCCTACAAAACAGTTCTGTTGTGTGGATTTTGTAAGCTTTAGTCATAAAATGGGAAAAATTTTTTCTCCAGAAAAATGTTTAAGGTACTGGATATACACCCCCATATCTTCTAGAAAAGCTTTTTTGGTTTGTTTTTTAATTCTGGTTTCTTGAGACAGGGTCTCATGTACTAACTATACCGCAGGATGGCCTTGAGCTTACACCAATCTTCAGTCCTTCCTGTCGAGACTCCCCAGAGCTTGGTTTAAAGAGTTCCTCCCTCCCTCCCTCCCTCCCTTCCTTCTTTCTTCTCTCTCTCTCTCTCTCTCTCTCTCTCTCTCTCTCTCTCTCTTTCTCTCTTTTTTTTCTATTTTTCTTTTTTCTTTTTTTGATTTTTTGAGACAGGGTTTGTTGTCCTGGAACTCTGGACCAGGCTGGCCTCCATCTCAGAGATCCACCTGCCTCTGGAGTACTGGGATTAAAGGCGTGTGCTACCACCCCTGGGCTAAAGAGCTTCTTATAACTACAAAAGCAGCCTGGACAGCAGGCTGCTGCTGTGCATGGTGGCTCTCACCTGTAACTGCAGGCTTGGGTGGCCAAGGCAAGAGGATCTCAAGTTCAAGGACAGCCTGGCTTACAGAGTGCAACCCTTTCTCAGCAACAGGCAGGCAGGCAGGCAGGCAGGCAGACAGAAATAAACTATGTTTTAAATCCATGTTAGTGTAGCATATTAAGTTCTTTATGAAACAAAGAATGCAATAAGTAACCCTTTAATCTCTGGGTCTCTCCATATGGCAGCAAATACTTATTGTATAAATCAATGAGTTATTCATTAGTTTAATAATCCTTGTTACATCTGTGGCTCCTGTACAAAGTTCAGACACAGAAAGTGTGTTACATATTTGTTGAATGTATACATTTACTTATTTAATGCATGGATTTTTAGGGTGGGATTTTGAGGTTTCCTTCTTCTATAATTGACTTAAGTTTTCACAAAATTTCAGGTTGTAATTTTCTAGGTGCTTGTAATAATAAACTAATAAGAGCTTGAGATTTAAAGCAAGGCTATTTGTTAGACACCATACAGGAAAATGCATGGAGATCATGAGTCTAATATGAATAAAATACGTGTGCCTGCTTCTCTGTGTCAGTTCTGTTCTGTCTTGCAGAGGGATCACATGAAAATTGCCCAGCAGTTTTTCCAGTTGGTAGGAGGGTCAGCCAGTGAATGCGGTATGTCTACCACCTGTGCGTTTGAGCACAGTGCATGGTTGCAGTCGGCGATATTGAGCAGTGGAGCCTGACTCTAGGGATGTGTTACGCTTCTGGTTATGAAACGGGTTAGAAACTGGAGAGGGGCTGAGGAAACAGCGCACGCTCACCTAGCACTCTCAGGGTCTTGTGTTAGGCTGACATGATAGCTGGTACCTATAATTCTACCCCTTGGAGACAGAGATGGCCGGAGATGGCTCAGGGGTTAAGAACATCTGATGCTCTCACAGAGGACCCGAGTTCAATTCCCAGCACCAGTGTCAGGCGGTCCACACCTGCCTGTACCCCGGCCGCAGGGATCCCGTGTGAGGCGGTCCACACCTGCCTGTACCCCGGCCGCAGGGATCCAGTGTCCCTTTCTAGACCTCACCTGTGCTTACACGTGCACGTAATTCAAAATAGAAGTAGGCTGGTTTAAAAAAGGTGGGGCAGTGGTGGTGCGCACGCCTTTAACCCCAGCACTCAGATCTCTGTGTGTTTGAGGCCAGCCTGCTCTACAGAGTGAGATCCAGGACCGCCAAGGCTACACAGAGGAACCTTGTCGTGAAAAAGAGGAAAGGAGAAAGGATATGATCCTAGCGAAGTGGTTCATCAGTTAAGAGCTCTGTCATTGTTACAAAGGACATGAACTCAATTCCCAGAACCACATGACAACTCAACTGTTTGTAGCTCCCGTCCCAGGGAACTGATGTCCTTTTCTGGCCTCTGGGCACTAGGCACACAGGATCCACACACATACGTTTAGGCAAAACACTAATGCACATAAAAAGAAGTACAATTTTTAAAAGAGTGATGTAAGAATACATAAATAAGCAGGAATAAATTTGCTCCATAGTTCCTGAGAATTGTAAGCCTAAATTACGTTTTCCTTTTCCTTTTTTGGTTTTCTGAAACAGGGTTTCCTCTGTGCAGCCCTGGCTGTCCTGGCACTCACTCTGCAGACCAGGCCTCGAACTCACAGAGATCTACTTGCCTCTGCCTCCTGAGTGCTAGGATTTAAGACATGTGCCATCACTGCCTGGTTGACTGAATTTTTAGCAACTCTTTATGTATTAACCTTCTGCCATGGGTGCAGACTCACCATGGCTGCCACCCATTTGCCTCTAAATGTCACTTTCGTTGTTATTTGAGATAGGGTCTCATTATGTAGTCTTGGCTGGCCTGGAACTCACGATGCAGACCAGATTGCCTTTGAACTCATGACCATCCTGCCTCTGAGTCCCAAGTGCTGGGATTACAGGCCTACACTGCCATGTCTAGCAAAGCCTGGCTTCAGAACATATTTTGTTGCTTGTAAAAATAACCCCAGACTGAGCAGATGGCTCAGTGGTCAAACACTTGTAATACAAGCATGAGGACCTGCGTTTGGATCCCTAGCACCTACGAAAGTGAGGGCAGGGTGGTAGACGTCTGTCATCGAGTGCTCCTGCTCTGAGTGGGAGGCAGCAACTGGAGAAACCCTGGCAGTTTTCCAGGCAGCTAGCCTAGCATATGCAGCCAAACTGCCAGAGCCTGACTCAGACAAGCTAGAAGGCAAGGGACGACGTGAGGTGGCCCTCTGAGCCCTCATGAGTACTGTGGTACATACACAGGCAAACATGCCTACACATCACACATACAACCACATTTGTCACACACATAAAATAAGAACAAATGAAAAGTAAAGGCCATTGAGCTGAGTTGGTGGAGTAAGACATTTGCTACCAAACCTAACGACCAAGTTTGTCAAAAACCACATGGAAGGAGAGAGCCAACTTCTACAACTTGACCTCTGACCTCCGCGTGGTCCCCATAGCAGATTCACGCCCACACTCATATACACACTATTCAAAATGTGTAAATGAATGTAATAACACATACTTTAAATGTTAAAAAGAGGAGAGATGGATGGCTCAGTGGGTCAGAGCATGGAGTCCTCTTGCAGAGGACTGGAGTTTGGTTCCCAACACTCTTTGGGCCGCTCACAACTGTCTAACTCTAGTTCCAGGAAATGTGATCCTTTTCTCTGGCTTCTTTGGGCATCTCCACACATGTGCACAAATACACATAAATAAAATCTTAAAGATTTTAAAGACAGAAAGGGGGCTGGAGAGATAGCTTAGTGGTTAAGAGCACTGGCTGCTCTTCTAGATGCCCTGAGTTCATTTCCCAACAACCACATGAGGGCTCACAGCCATCTGTAAAGAGATCTGGTGCCCTGTTCTGGCCTGCAGGGATACATGCAGACATAATAATAATAATAAATAAATCTGGGGTGGGGAAGATACATAGATATTTATTTATTTATTTTGAGGCAGAGAAACTCTGCGTAGCTTTGTAGACCAGGCTGGCCTCAAACTCACAGAGATCTGCTTGCCTCTGTTTAAAGATTTATTTATTTACTTATTTATTTATGTGTCCAATGTTCTGGATGCTCTGCATGCTGGATGCTCTGCATGCCAGCAGAGGGCACCAGATCTCATTACAGATGGTTATGAACCACCATATGTTTACTGGGGATTGAACTCAGGAACTCTGGAAGAGCAGCCAGTGCTCTTAACCTCTGAGCCATCTCTCTAGCTCTCTGGTTGGTAGATTTTTAATCCTGGTATTACAGATATATGTCATTACACTGAGTTCTTGCCCCATCCCCATTAAAAACTTTAAATCTGCTCGTAGTGATAGGTACTCTGGAGGCAGAGGTAGGTGTTCTCTGAGTTCCAGGCCAGCCTGGTCTATAGAGAAAAACCGTGTGCTTGCTGACTGACTGTTAACATTTTTAAAATTGCCCCTGGAGATTCCCAAACGTTTCTCCAGCACTATTTTTGAATGGCGTTTCTTTTCCCTACCTCAGTTTTGGATTTGTACAAGAAACATTTACTAAAAAGCATTGGAGATACGGCAGCAAATAAAACAAGAAGTCCCACTTTGTGTGGCTTACAGTCCAGTGGGACAGGCAGACCCTGAGCATGATACAGAAAGAGGTATGGAGCGTGACAGACTGTAAGGGGTCTTGAACATGGAGTCTTGGAATGTCACGGTGTGAGTCGGGTGTCTCACTAGTAACCTGCTATCGTAAGTAGAAGTGTCAGGCAAGCGTAGGGTCAGATCAGAATCTGGCAGCCCCATGGCACATTATTTCCCTGCTTGATTTGGAGCTGCTAGGTTGTGTCACAAGTCAGTGTGGAGACTGGACCACGTTGATTGAGTTGAGGTCATTACCAGTTGCATAAACCAAAACCCCATGAAGGCAGTCTAGGGAATACTAAAGCCAGCATACTTGCAGGGGACATGTTTCTTGTGGAATCTGGGAGTTGACCCTAGAGCCTGGGGCCAGCAGAATCTACAACTTCAAAATCAGGGCTCAGAGGTCCTAGGAGTCAGGGTTTCTCTGTGTATCCCTGGCTGTCCTGGAACTCTCTATAGAGACCAGGCTGGCCTTGAACTCAAGGAAATCTACCTGCCTCTGCCTCCTGGTGCTGGGATCAAAGGTGTGTGCCATCACATCCTGCTGCATTCCTATTTCTGAATTCTACAGCAATGCAGATTTTTAACTAAAGACACGCCTTTAGTCCCAGCACTGGAAGGCAGAGGCAGGCGGATCTCTGTGAGTTCAAGGCAAGCCTGTTGGTCTACAGAGTAAGTTTCAGGACAGGCTCCTAAGCTATACAGAGAAACCCTGTCTTGAAAAACCAAAAGAAAAAAGAAAAAAAAAAGGCACCTTCTGGTTTTATGGATATCTATGGTTTCTTCTTCCTTTGCTTTACCCCATTTTAGATACAATACCAGGGAGGCAGTGCATGGCTTCCTGTTTCTTCCTGCTTAAGCAATTTGATGATGTCTTGATTTACCTCAACTCTTTTAAGGTCAGTATGGATTATCTTTGTGACTTTATGTGTGAAACACATTACATGCTGTGTTAGATGAATGATGGCTGAAGCAGAATTAAGAGTTTAAGGCCAAATCGGGCATGATGATGCAAGCCTTTAATCCCAGCACTCAGGAGACAGAGGTTGGCTGACCTCTGTGAGTTCGAGGCCAGTCTGGTCTACAGAGTGAGTTCCAGGACAGCCAGAGATACACAGTGAGACCCTGTCTCAAAAAAGAAAAACCAAGAAAAGTTTTTCAAGGACAATGGCAGCCATTCCCCAAAAGTTACACTTTTGTAGCTACCCCCTTTCTCTGATGGTATGGCTAGCATCAAGGAATTGATACAAATCCTTTCTTGTTTGTTAGCTTTGGGGATTTTTTTTTGAAACAGTTTTTCTATGTAGTCCTGGATATTCTGGAACTCTATATGTATATAAGGCTGGCCTCTAACCCAGAGATCTGCCTGCTTTTGCCTTCCAAGTTCAAGGATTAGAGGTGTGTGCCACCATACCTGGCTTAATTCCTTAAGATTATTTCTATGGAGGCAGAAAATTTGCTTTGAAAGCCTGGTGACCTGAGTTCAATTCCAGGAACCCATTTAAAGGCAGAAGGAAAGAGCTAGAACTGACAGCACAAAATTATCCTTTGACCACCACATGTGCCATGACACACATCACCCCACTACCATGCATGCACACACACACACACCATACCATACCACACACTCACACACACACACACACACACACGCTTTTTTTTTTTTTTTTTTTTTTTTTTTTTTTTTTTTTTGAGACAGGGTTGAATATGTCACTCTGGCTGGCCTGAAATTCCTTATGTAGACCAGGCTGACTTCAAACCCACAGAGATCTGTCTGCCTGTGCCTCCTGAGTGCTAGGATTAAAGGTGTGTGAGCCACCATGCCCAGCAATAATAAACTTTAAACAGGTCGTTGTTTTAGTCAGTGTAGCTGATGATTTTTTATTTTCCATATTAATACTCAGTGTGTCCCATCCTTGGCACATTTTTCAGAGTTACTTCTACAATGATGACATCTTTAACTTTAATTATGCACAAGCCAAGGCCGCAACGGGCAACACCAGTGAGGGGGAAGAGGTATGTACATGTTCCTGTTCTCTCTTTGCAGTGGTCCAGGCAGCTGGCACACACCTTCAATCAGAAGGCGGAGGCAGGAGAGTCTCCGTAAGTTTGAGGTCAGCCTGGGTCAGCCTGGTCTACGGAGTGAGTTCGAGGACATGCAGGGCTGGCTACACAGGGAAACCCAGTCTCAACAAAAAACAAAAACAAAAAGTTACACTTAGTAAGGTGCCTGCTTGTAAAAAGGCATTTGAATGAGCATATCTGAAGGCATCCTTTACGTCTTTTCATTAGAACAGAATGGCCAACCGTAAAGGACTATTATAGGTTGATTTAGCTCGGGATTGGTACCCCACCCATTCCTGTAAACCCAGCACTTAGTAGCACAGGGTCCTACATTACATACAACAAGACACCCCCATCCCCACCCCGCTCGAGAGATGGGTGGGTGGGTTAAGGAACTAGCTTTGCAAGCCTGGTGACCCAAGTTCATCCTTAGAGGCCACATAAAACACTGGCTGTGGTAGCATTCTTGTTGAGGGGAGGCGGAAACGGAACTGGCTGGAAGCTTGTAGGCCAGCTAGCCTGGGGAAAGCAGCGCTTGCAGCAGCGAAATGGAAGGCCCTGTTTCGGCAAGGTTATGCTCCGCATGTACATGGCCTTACACATCCACCATATATTTCTGTGTGTGCAAGCATGCACACACACACAGAGTAAATGAATAGTTTTAATTTGTTTCATCATGGTTTACATTAAAAAGTAAGCTATCAAGCTGGAGCAATGACTCAAACATTAAGAGCACTTAGGATTTTACAGAAGACCAGGGTTTAGTTCCCCCATATGGTGGCTTACAATACCCTGCAATCCAAATCCCAGGAGATCCACACCTTCTGTCTTCTGTGGGCTCTTGTATGTTATGGTGTGCATAAACTCAAGCAGGTTCACATGCACACACAAAAACAATCTTTTTTAAAAGTACAGTATCAATCAACATTCAGATTGTATAATAATGTTTTCCTTTAACTTCCATTTTGCTATTAGATATAAGGCTACAGTAACAGCAGTCTGGCCTAGTTAATAATATCAGGGTTATTGTTTACCCGGCCTTATGTTTACTTCCTTTGTTTTCTCTCATAGGTTTTCCTCTTGATCCAAAGTGAGAAGTTGAAAAATGATTACATCTACCTCAGTTGGTTAGCTAGATGCTGTAAGTTTTTTTTTTTCTTTCTCAACATTACAAGGATACTTTTTTGTTGTTGTTGTTATATAATCTGTTTGGAAATCACATTAAGCATTTTCTACACTTCTTTGTGTTCTGTAGAGTGAGTAGATTCTGAATGAAGGGTTATCTATGTTTCTCGGTAAGAGCTGCCATGTGAATGGGATGTGTAAGGTCACCCATGATTAATGCCAGCATTCCACACTGACACACCACTGCTATTGCAAGATGTCAGCTTCCAGACCCTGTGTTCAATGCCATTAGAGTGATGCTGCTGTCACACTGGTTTTATCTTTTCATTTTCCAGCCTGAAAAGTAGCAACATGTCAAAATGGATTTTTGTCCGTTGATAAGCTGTAATAAGTCTCTCATATCTTTTCCTCTTTTCTCAGATTTTTTTTTTTTTTTTTTGGCATATAGTCATTATACATAGTGCCAGGTTTCATCAGGACAACTTCACATAGATCATACTTTGACCATACCCACCCTACATTTCCTCCCGTAGTTTCCTTCATTCCCCATCCCCCTTCTGCTTTTATATCCTATGGAGAAATGGTTCTGTGAATCTGTGTAAAATCTAAGATTCACAAACAAGAGAAGACATGTATTTGTCTGAGTTTTCATATGTTAATATGATGCTCTGAAGTTGTACATATTTTCTAACACATAATTTCATTGTTCTTTATATCCAGTGTGTGTATGTGTGTGTACCATATTTTATCTGTTCATCTGTTTCTCTAGCATGACTGATGAATAATGCAGAAATACACATAGATGTGCAGAGTCTGTGGTATGAAGGCCTGGAGTCACAGTGTAGTCCTGTTTTCTTGTTCTGTGGTGCGAGGGATCAGACCTGGGCCTTGAGTGTGGTAGCTTAGCTCTGTAGCACTCTAACCCAACCCCACTATTTTGAGATTTGTGAGGAACTTTGAGAATGGACTTTTGTACCATTGGACTAATTTATTGTTGCAAGCAGTTTCCTGCCAGTCTGGTCCCAGAGTCATGTCAGTCCCAAAATAACACACAGACACTCTATTAGTTATAAAGCTGTTGGCCAATGGCTAGAGCTTCTAATTGGCTAGCTCTGTCTTAAATATTAACCCATTTATATCAATTTAAGTGCTTCCATGTGGTCTTATCTTACTGGAGAGAGGGTCTGGACCTCTTCACTCACATCCTACATCTTGACTCTTCCCTACTATATCTCCCAGAATCCTCCTTGTCTCTTAGTCTCACCTATCTTGCTTTCCTATTGGCCAACAGGGCTTTATTCATTAACCAATACAGGAAACATATTTACAGAATTATATCACCCATTATCTCCTCATTTCTGTCTAAAATAAAAAGAAGGGTTTTAACTTTAACATAGTAAAATATATAATAAAACAGTTATCAAATAAGAACTATAGTTAAAAATATTTAGTCCATTAACATTATCAGGAATTAAAGAAAGTATTCTATCATCTGTCCTATCTTTGTGAGTCTGAAGTCTTATATGTAACTTATCTTTAATCCTAAGGACAACTATAACGATAACTATCTGTCTTCAACTCCATCAAAGTCCACAGAAGGATAATATATAAATTCTAGAAGTGACAGAGACAACTCACTGCCTGGTCAATCACCTGAAGTTCTTTTGTAAAGTTCCATCTTCAGCCCATAGGCCATAGTGTGTGTGGCAGACTCCTCAGCAAAGTAGGAAAGTTTAAACTGTCCACCTGTATTGGCAGTTTGTCAGTCACTTTTCTCTGTGTCCTGCAGACTGTCTGGCAGACTCTTCCATGAAGCAGGAATCCTGTATCAATGTCCATCTTGTATCAGCAGTCCCTTTCCTGTGGGTCCTGCATGTCCAGTTTATACAGCATAAAGTCAAACAGTCCAGACAAGAGCAGTATGTTGCCCAAATGGCTAGTTTTGCCATATTGGAAGCAAACTCCATACCGAGTTTCTTCGATGTCCATCTTCCTTTGTGACGCAGCTGGTGTTGCCAGGAGCAGTTGTGCCTCACTGTTAAGAAAAACCCTAAACCATTTTAAATGCCATATTCTGTAGGTCTTTGAAAGGTTTGAAGAATATTTATCCATCTCAAATATATCTCTGTATATCTAGAAATCCTAACTAACATAAGTTTTGACTATTATAGGTAACTATCTATAGTCTGTATTAAATTATACATTACATTTTAAATGAGCTATATAAATACAATACCTAAACAAGAGGACCTTAAATTTGTATCAATAAATAAAAATCTATTCCAAAACAAAGTATTCATTTCTATATCATAATCCCCTTTTTACCTTAAAAAAGAGATTGGTTGCAATCATTAACCATTTATAACCAACCCCATTTAGATGAAAACAAACATTTATAGACAACATTTGGGAAGTTTGGTGTCATTTTCTCCAAAGTGCTTCCTGTTGGTTAGGGACCCTGTAATACCATGGGGATCCTAAGAAGACGCAAAAATCCTGGCTGTAGTCTGCAAGGCTGCCTTGTCCCAGCTGTTTTGAATGTTGGATCACCTGGGACACTGTCTTGCTTGATCAAACCATTTTAGTCTGGAAGGAATCCACAGCTGTTCATTTTCTGTGAAAACAAAAATAGAAATTCTTTTCCCCAGTAACCTGTCCTTAGACTTAAATTTTGAAGTCAAACATGTTTAAAATAAATGAATTGGGTTAATTCAGCAGCGTTGATAATCAAGTGTATTGTAACAGCTGTTGTTCCTTCCTTAGCCATTGAGCAACTCAAAGACGACACAGCAGCACACGGTATCCAGACTCTGTGTATTTCCCATCTTTAGGTGGCTTTTTTATTACTCTATTTCTTTTATTTTTTTCATTTTTTTGAGTTTCTCTGTGTACGTTTGGCTGCCCTGGAATTCACTCTATACACCAGGCTGGCCTTGATATCACAGAGATCTGCTTGTCTCTGCCTCCCTGAGTGCTGGAATTAAAAGGCGTATGCCACCACACCCAACTAATCTCTTTCTTTTTTTCTCTTTCTTTCTTGTTTTTTAAACTACTTTGTCCTGTTTCTTTTTCTCTCCCAAGCCTATGAATATTTTTAAAGACCCTGTAAACCTTTAGAAGTTGTTATTTATTTTAATCTGTGTTTTCTGTAAATCTTTATCTTTTTATGGCCTTGAGTCTTTTATCTGCTAAACAACATTGCTAAAATGAAAGCCACAGCTGTGTTAGCCACAGTCTATCCAAGATGGGGAGGGTAACTTTACCACCAGCACTGAGAGCTGTGCTCACCGCCTTGGTCTGCACTGCCATCAAACAGCATGCTGCCTGATTGAAGATGTGGTCACTGCCACTGCCAGCTCCCATACACACCATTCAATTGTTACCAGGGCCTCTTGAAAGAGCCCTGCAGTTTTTTCTGCCTATGCTGCTGAGTCAGGAAACCTCCCTTAGCGGAGCCTCGAGAGTCTCTGCTTGTCTCTATCAAAACAGAGCCCACCCGAGAAAAATGCTGCTACCAAGAAGCCTTGTTTGTCTCTGTTCTTTTGTTTCTAAAATCCCTGTTTAAGCTTTTGTCAAGTTTTAAATGGAAGTTCTTAGTACCCACGTTGTAGGCTCCATTTTGTTAAGAGCGTGTTCCTGCCAGCCTGGTCCCAGAGCCACTTCAGTCCCAAAATAACACAGAGACTCTGTTAGTTTTAAAGTTGATGGCCAATGGCTAGAGCTTCTAATTGACTATCTCTGTCTTAAATATTAACCCATTTCTATCAATCTAAGTGTTTCCATGTGGTCTTATCGTACTGGAGAGAGGGTCTGGACCTCTTCAGTCACATCCTACATCTTGACTACTCCCTACTACAATTTGTACTCCCACCAACGGTGTTTAGTCCCTCTCTCCAGGCTCTGTGTGTGTTTTGTTTGATGGCCATTCTGACTGGAAGAGATGGAATCTCATGTGGTTTTAATTTTCATTCTCTGGCTGCTAAGGTTGCTGGACATTTCTCATGTGCTTATTGGTGATTTCCCGACAGTAACCCTCCATCAGATATATAGCGTAAGGATATTTTTGCCCTTTCCAAAGGCTTCTTCTTCACTCCCGTGTTTCTTAGGACACACAGAAGCTTCTTAGTTTGTAAAATCCCATGTGTTAAGTCTTGACCTCGGTTATTAAATTGTGAGAATGCTTTTGAGAAAGCCTATGCCTCTATCTTGTAGTATTTTCCCCGTGATTTCCTCTAACAATTTTTGAGTTTCAACTTTTAGGTTAAGGTCTTTGATCCATACTTTTAAGTAGAGTGAGAGTTAGGTGTGGACGGAAGTTTCTGTCCCACCAGGTCCCACAGCTGTTCAGTCCCAAATAAACACACAGAGTCTTTTATTAACTATAAACTGTTTGGCCTATGGCTCAGGCTTCTTATTGGCTAGCTCTCTCTTAATTATTAACCCATTTCTATTAATCTATGTGTCTCCATGTGGTCTTGGCTTATGGGTGATGCCCGAGTCTCTTACTCTCTTGGCAGCTACACAGCGTTTCCCTGATGACTCACACTCTGCTTTTCTTTTCTCTGGATTCTCCAAGTCTGGTAGCCCTGCCTGTACTTCCTACCTGGCTACATCCTGCCTGTCCATTGGCCAAAGCATTGGTTCATAAACCAATAAGAGAAACATACATTCACAGCATACAGAAGGACATCCCCTGTCATATAGGGATCTGATTTTATCCTTCTGTATGCAGATGCCCACTCCCACAGCACCATTAATTGAAAAGGCTATCTCTTCCCCAATTTGTGTTTTGAAACCCTTGAACTCACAGAGATCCATCTGCCTCTGCATAGCCATTGTTACCATTCAGTCTGATTTAAAATGTGCCTTAAGGCCACTGAGATGACTCAGTGGGTAAATGCTTGTCTCCTGGAACTCACATAAAGATGGAGGAAGAGAACTGACAGATTTGTCTTTTGACCCTGGCACATGCCCCTCAGTCTCAAACACCAGCCTCACACACATGATAATAAACATCTTAAAACTGTCTTAAAATGTCAGTAAGTTTTTGTAGTCATAGGAAATTTTTAGCAATTACATATTCTTTTCGTTGGTGGTGCAAAGTCTCACTCTGGGTCCCAGGCTGGCCTAGAACTTCCAACCCTGATCCCTTGGAATCTGGAATTACAAAATTACAAGCACAGACCACCACACCTGGCTTGCAGTCCAATTCTGTGAGGGTGAAACTATGATCAGGATTGAATGAATAATGGATATACTCTCCAGTCCAGTGAAAACTTCTAGAAATCAACTCAGTCTAAAAGATAATTTTATAAGTCTTAAATAATTTAACTTTGATCTAATTCTGGAAAGGAGACCATTACATGGCAACATTCACCATTTTGTATTTGGGTGTAAAATTGCAAGTCCACAGACTGGCACAGTAAAGGAATTCTCTCTTAAACACCTAAAAGGCTTAAGCCTGGGGCTGAAGTGATGTCTCTGTGGCTAAGCATGCTTGTTGTACTTGCAGAAAAGAATTCAGCTCCCAGCACCAAGTCAGCTAACAGCCTCCTGTTACTCCAGCTTCAGGGGATCCAGTACCCTCTTCTGGCTTCCAAGGGTACACACACACACACACATACCACCATACACCATACACCATACACACACCATACCACACCACACACACACCATACCATACCACACCACACCACACACACTCACACACACCACCATACACCATACACACACCCACACACCACACACACACCACCATACACCATACACACCACACCATACCACATCACACACACAAACCACACAAACCACCATACACCACACCACACCACACACACACACACACACATACCACCATACACCATACACCATACACACACCATACCATACCACACACACACCATACCATACCACACCACACCACACCACACACACACACACACCACCATACACCATACACACACCCACACACACACACACACACCACCATACACCATACACACACCACACCATACCACACACACACCATACCATACCACACCACACCACACCACACCACACACACACACACACCACCATACACCATACACACCACACCATACCACATCACACACACAAACCACACAAACCACCATACACCACACCACACCACACACACACACACCATACCACACAACACCATACCGCACACACCACACACACACACACCATACCACACACACCACACCACACACACACACACACACACACACCACCATACACCATACACACACCACACCACACTATACCACATCACACACACAAACCACACAAACCACCATACACCACACCATACCACACCACACCACACACACACACACACACACACCATACCACACAACACCATACCACACCACACCACACCACACACACACACACACACACACCATACCACACAACACCATACCACACCACACACACACATACATACATACACCACACACACACCACACCATACCACAACATACCACACCACACACACACACACACACCACCAAATACCACACACACACCACATCACACACACACACACAAACACACACACACCATACACATACATACATACACACCACATCACAGACACACACACATACACACACACTCTCACACAAATTAATTTTAAAAAATGGTGGTACACACCTATAATCCCATCCATCACTTGAGAGGTTCAAGGCTGCGGCTGGAGACTTGTGTTGAACTTAGGTAATATCTTGAGACACTGTCATAAGTAAATAATAAGTAACATAATTGTTTTCTTTTGTAGATATCATGAATAAAAAACCAAGACTAGCTTGGGAACTTTATCTCAAGATGGAAACTTCTGGCGAGTCCTTCAGCCTCTTGCAGCTCATTGCTAATGACTGTTACAAGGTGAGTTTGGGTGATGGGAAAGGGAAAACAGGATCACTGTCACATTTCATCAGCTAATTATTCACCCTAGAGATTTTACTTGCTATTGGTGAGAAGAATATCACCTCCCCCTTTTGGAGGGATGGGTTTCGAGACAGGGTTTCTCTGTGTAACAGCCCGGTAGACCAGGCTGGCCTTGAACTCACAGGGATCCACCTGCCTCTGCCTCCTGAGTGCTGGGATTAAAGGTGTGCGCCACCACCACACAGCTAGATTGTCATCCTTTTCATTAATTATGTGTATGCAGGGATGGGTTAGTATTTCAGAGTCTCATCTGCATATAAACAATGATTCAGAAGGCAGCTCTGGTTTCTAAGGCCATGAAATCTCAGCTGCCAGCTAGAAATATTCAGCTGAGAGAAATTTGGTTCTGAAACTTGAGAAATGTCATCTGGAAACAGATTAGGACTCACCATCAGCATTTAAGCACTGATTAGCTAGATATGATGGAGCAGCCTCTGGACTCAGCACCTGGAAAGCAGAGGCAGGAGCATCACTACAAGTTTAGAGGCAACCTGGGCTATGTAGTGATTTCAAGACCAACCAGGTCTACATAGAAAGATCCTGTCTGAAAGAAAAAGAAAAATGAAGCCCTCAGAAACTGAGGTTAAGGGCTGGTGAGATGAGTAACGGCACCTGCCTCCAAGAGTCCCTGAGTCCCACATGGTAGGAGAACCAGTTCCTGAGAGCTGTCCTGTGACTTCCATATGAACGCTGCAGCACACACGCACTCACACGCACACGCACACTCACACACGCGCACGCACACACACCTTTTCCTGCTTTCTCAGCCTCCCTCCCTCCTTCCCTCCATCCACCCCTCAGCTGTGAAGCTATGAAATAGGTACATGGTAGAGTGTTTGCCTACCATGCTCAAGACTCTGAGTTCAACTTACAGTGCCACAGTAAATAAATTTATTGATCTCAATTCTACAGATAAATATTTTCATACTCCTTATGGGGGGTATAATCAATCTCAATATCCAAACCAAATCTGGGGGAGAATCCCTACTTTTGCAAGGTGATTATAGTGAAAACAAATTGATACCCAAATTAATAAGGAATATCATATACATTTTGCTGAGTAAAGAAATAGTTTGGTGTTTTATAATATATATAAAAAACATTCCTGAGCCTGGCAGTGGTGGCACATACCTTTAATCCCAGTGCTCAGGAGGCAGAGGCAGGTGGATCTCAGTGAGTTAAAGGCCAGCCTGGTCTACAGAGTGAGTTCCAGGACAGCCAGGACTACACAGTGAACCTGTCTCAAAAAAAACAAAAAATCCTTGAATGATAACATTATTAATGTCAATGTTATCAAGAAAAGAAGGGCGGGTGTCAGGGACGCCGAGTACTCAGGGAAGGGCTTGAAGTCCCTGTGAGACAGGAACAGGGGAATCTCTGGTGATGGAGGAATCTGGATCTTGGTGTGGAGGAACTTAGCATTCTACTCAGGATTGATGTAAACGTCCTGAGTTTAATGTTTTACTATAGTTGTAGAAGCTATAACCGTTGTTAGAAATTGTGAGAGGCACAGGGGATATCATCCTATCTTTACAACTTCCTATAGATCTGTAATTATTTAAAAATAAAACTGATTGCTGGGCAGTGGTGAGGCTTGCCTTTAATCCCAGCACTCAGGAGCAGAGGCAGGCGGATCTCAGAGTTCGAAGCCAGCCTGGTCTATGGAGCGAGTTCCAGGACAGACTCAAAAGCCACACATAAAAATAAAACTGGGATGCTAATGGCTGGAGCGATGGCTCAGCAGGTAAGGGCACTGGCTGCTCTTCCAGAGGCCCCACATTTGATTTCCAGCAACTGCATGGTGAACCACAGCCATCTGCAACGTCAGTCTCAGGATTTGATGCCTCCTCTGACATTCATGGGTACCAGGCACCCACACAGATGAATGTGGGTGAAACACCTCTATACGTAAAACCAACTACAAGTTGGCCAATGAGATTATTCTGTGGATAAGGCACCTGCTGCCAAACCTGACCGCTTGAGTGTGATCCCTGAAACCCACATGACCGACGGAGAACCAGCTCTCACAGGTTGTCCTCTGACCTTCACATGTTTGCCATGACGTGTGCAGGGAAACCAACAATGAAATAAAAACATAAGGAAATACCTTAGAAAATAAAAAACTAATTAGTGCTATATATAATAACATAGGTGATTATTAAAACTGAGTCAAATTGAAGGCACACAATAAAAAAGTATTTCATGTAGGTAAAGCTCTAAGAGGCAAAACTTGTTGACTACATCACTTAAAAGATGCAGCGAGGTGCAGTGAGGTATCTTGGCAGGTAAAGTTGCCTGCCTCTAAGCGTAGCCCACCTTTGTTTGATGCCTGGTACCCACGTGGAAAGAAAGAACCGAACACCACAAGTTTTACTCGGACCTCCCCACATGCTGTAGCTCTCATCACTCCCCGCAACACAGAGTTTAAAACTAATTTTAAAAGATGCAGAGGTGGACGATAAAAGTACACAGGAAGTAAGACTTGAGCGTAGAGATGAGAATAGCGATTGCTGCAGAGTGAGGGAGCAGCGGGGACCCCGGGGCGTGGTTTCCCACGAGCTGTGAACCTGGGTGGACCCCTTGTATTCGTACGCGGGGGAGCTGTACATGCTTCACACTTCACCCTGCATGTCTGCTGCGAAGACAGAAAGTTTAACCCTGAGAAGAGGGACACTTGTTTTGTGAGATAGGAAGAAAGAGGGGCAAGGGAAGGGTGTTAGGCTCTGGGGGAGGAAGCTTGTGCTCTCTCTGCAGTATAGAGCCGAGACTCCAGCTAGATGTCAGGGACTGGCCAATGGCCGAGGAGCAGGCAGAGAGAGGGGCCACGTCAGAGTGAAGAGGGCCACCCTGCAGTTAGGAGCCAGCAAAGCCCCATCTGCTGTGCTCAGCATGTGTTGTGAGAACAAGGGAGTGTGTCATGTCTTTGGGAAAGATGTCTGCCAAAAATGACTTAGGAGATTTTTGTGCTTAGAATCGTAACTGCCTGGGCATTCTAAGCATTTAGGATAATTGGGGAAAGATGATCAGGTTAGGGTAATGTGTGGAGGAGACTTGAAAAATACCTTCAGTTCCTCACAAGAGTGGAGTAGAATTACAAGAAATAAGAAATGTCTTGACGGCAGCATGATTCAACGGTATGCAGACAAATGTTCGGTCACAGAAAGTAAGGGTGTGTGGCTTTGAGGCACCCTGTGCACTTAAACTGGTTCTGGTTTCAGCTGTTGTGTTCTGTGCTCTGCGTGTTTTATCACACTCTTGACTAAATGCCACTGCCCACCATGCTTCTGTTGTGCAGATGGGCCAGTTCTACTATTCCGCCAAGGCGTTCGATGTCCTAGAGAGGCTGGATCCCAACCCCGAATACTGGGAAGGCAAAAGGGGCGCCTGTGTGGGCATTTTCCAGATGATTTTAGCGGGGAGAGAGCCCAAGTAAGTAAGAGTGGACGGAGGCACCCTGGTGGGAGGGTGCCTATGGGAATCATAAGGGTAGGAGCGTTGAGAGGTTAATGTCTTCTGTAAGATCATTTCTTCCTGTCTTATGTTATGGACTCAAATGACGGTTGGTCATACATGCTGAGGACACTAAGCGTACAAGAGCTTCCAGTCCAGGGCAGAGTGTACAAGCTCCAGTCCCCTTTCTGAAAAGCCTGTTGGCTTTTCCTTCGGCTAATTTAGGCCTTAAAGTAATAGGAATATAGTACACATGGTTGGGAATTCTTTTTTGCTTCTGCCTTCTTATATTCCAGGAAATGTTGAAGTATTTGGTTATGTAAAACTTAAGAGGCTTATAGGTCTATGTGAATAGAAATTAAAATATTTCAAAATTAATTCCTAGCACTTGGGATCCTGAAGCAGAATTGTGAGCTCAAGTCCAGAAAGGCTAGCCTTGGCTAAAATTAATTCATTAATTCAGTATTCTAAAAATTCTATGTAATATATTTATTGCTTAATGCCATATGAGTAGAAAAATGTAAAATTTTGCAAGCAAATTATCAAAATTTACCTTCTGCCCTGTGTTTACAACCCCAAACAAAAGCACTTAGTCAGGTGCAGGAGGTCCCTCAGAGAGAAGAAAACAAGACTATCAGGGGGCCACACCCAGGCAGTTGCCAGAGTTCTGCCCACCTCAACTAAAATCCAAGTGTTAATTATAGCGAACTTGGATTTGGGGCTAGAGATGCTCGTGGTTAAGAACGTTTGCTGCTCAGTCATGAGCAGTAGAGTTTGAATCCCAGCACATATGTCAAGGCTCCCAAACACCTGTAACTTCAGCTCCTGGGGTCCGATGCCCTCTTCCGTCCTTCTCAGGCACCTGCACACACGGGCAAACGCACAAAGGAGCACATGCATGCACACATCAATTGAACACATTTTTAAGTCAAGTGTAAATGCTGGGTAGTCACCAAATGTTAGCCCTTAATGCTAGCCTCATCTATTCTTAGTATATCTGAACCCTTTTTACATAAATCTGTGGGACGGTTTTCCTTCTCTGTTGAGACCGCGTGCTCTCTCAATCCCCTTCCCCAGAGAGACCCTCCGGGAAGTGCTGCACTTGCTGAGAAGCACAGGAAACACCCAAGTGGAGTACATCATCAGGGTCATGAAGAAGTGGGCGAAGGAGAACAGAGTGCCTATCTAAAGAGCTGAGGCCTCGGCCAGGGCCAGCGTCCTCCCTCACACTTGAGTGTGAGAGCCAGGACAGCCGGCAGGAGGAGTGGCTGGTACGTGAAGACTTAGCCACCAGGCGGCGCAGATCTCCCTGCTCTGTACTGACACCATGGAATCTATTGGTAAAAGGACTTTAGGCTTCCCGGTGCCTTTCCTCTAAAACTGTCTAAAACCACTCAGAATACTCTTATAATTTACTGGCTTTTAAGAGTAGGTAATAGTTTGTTTTTCTTTTTCTGTTAGCATTTCAGGACATGTTTTTGTAGCTGCTGTGACAAGTACTTTTATACTAAAGAATTGCTATCATTTGATCATCTTCTGTCAGCTTGTACACTAGCCATCCATGCAGAATACATCTCTGAGTCCTGGGAGAAGAAGTCTTCCCAGCTGTGTGATTCTAAGGATGGCCGTTGGATCCTCTACCAAACTGCAGTCATCAGTAGAGAGCAGGCTTAGAGGGCCACTCTCTCAGTCATTGAGCTGCTGCTTATAGCTTGTTACCTTGAGACAGCTGAGGACTGTAGGTTTTTTAAAGGCGACGGAAAGGAAAATGTGGCATCTCTGGAGGCGTACCAATCTCGAGTCACTACTGCCTTGTATTTTAGCAAACAAAGCCAGGGCAAGCTTCTTCGTATATCAGCGGAATGAACAGCAGTTTCAACATAGGGCCATGAAGGTTTCCATGAAGCATATATACACGTTTTTTGTTTTTGGTTTTTTTTGGTTGGTTATTTTAAACAGGGTTTCTCTGTGTAGCTATGACTGTCCTGGAACTCACTCTGTAGACCAGGATGGCCTTGAACTTGGAGATCTGCCTCCCAAGTGCTGGGAATAAATGTGTGCACCAGCACCATGATGCTGCGTATTATATTGCACACATGTACACACATAATAGGGATTTATTGATAGTTTAAGGGAGGGTCTTGGGAAGGAACCTCCTAATGGCTAGCCTCCCATTATATCTTAGCCTCCTGTCTCTGAGCTGGCATTACATAAACCTCTTTCTTCCACAACCCAGTATCACAAAACAGACATGTTTTTCTGTATCAGATTACCTTTGTTTCTGTGCTCTATAATTTTCTTCTGTAAATTTGAGGTACACAGTGTCACAACCTAGAGCACACAGACCCATCCTCATAGAGCAGACAGTGGATGGGGAGGGTGGGGAGCAGCTTTTAAACACTTCTAGTTCTTTCTCCTGCCCTACCCAGCCCCTATTGCAGGTGGCATGGTGCTGAACAGAAGGCAGAGGGACCCTGCCCAGAGCGAGAGCCATGGGGGCAGCGGCTGAACCCAGCCTTCACCTCGCCAGCCCCAAGGTCCTTCAGCTCTGCTCAGATGGTGGCCACTGTGCCATCTTTACAGAAGCCTCAGATATGATTGGTCCAGAGCCCAAATCACAATACCAATCTAACAGAGCTCCAGGAAACAAAGCTGCGTCGTTCCCATATGCCAGAGCTCCTTGTTTTCTTGTTCTGTTTTTCCTACTTTTTCAATAATAGCTGGTTCTCACTGTCAAGGGTGTTAGGTGGGTCAGATATGGGCAAACCTGTATAGTCCTGTGAAAGCGTTCTTGTAAAACTAACCTTAAAGGAAGCATGATAGTGGGAGAGCAGATGCCACCCCCGGGAGCTCTTGGCATATTTCAGTGAACTGCTGTTCTCTTCTGGGTTCTTCATTCCTGAAATGCTGGCTCTCGTTCATGCCGGGTACTCCCCAGTGAGGGTTTGGGAGTTTACTACCCAGAACCCTCACATTTTCCTGAGACAGAAACAAGAAGGCTAGTTAAAGCCAAACACATGCAATTCTGTTAGGAGGAATGATTGCTTCTGATCGTCTTGACAGTAACCCAGGCTTCGTGGCTGTGTTCTCTCACAGATGTCACAGATGACAGTCCAGGGGAGAAAGGCCACAGGCTGCGGAATGTGTACTGTGTACAATCTGTAGCATCAATGTACTATTTAAAATCTGTAGTGTATACTTAGAAATGAAAAAACTTTTATGATTATTTTTGTACTACAAAAGAATTATATACCACTGTGTATATTTAAATTAAATTTTACTTTTTGGTTCTTTTCACGTGTGTTTATGTTTATGCAGGTGTGCTTACCCATGTAGAAGTTAGAGATCACGTTGAGTGTTTTATCTCTTTGCACCTTATATTTATAAAAGATTTACCTTATTATTATATGTGGATATGTGCACATGAATGCAGGTACCTGTGAAGGTCAGAAGAGGGCATCCGATCCTTTGGAACTGGACTTACCAGCTGTTATGAGCGGCTTGACATGAGTGCTGGAAACTTCTATAAGAGTATTTGCTCTTAGCCACCGAGCCGCTTTCAAGCCCTCGTGACCTTATGCTTTGAGAATAAATGAATAAAAGAAGCTGGCCTGGCTCCTTTAGCAGGGTTGGCTAACCAGCATGACTGGGGACCCCTGCTGCTTCCTCCCTTACTGCTATGACTCTGGGCACATGCCAGCATGTTTAGCCTCTCACATAGGTGCTGGAGACTAGGACTTATGTGTGTGTGGCAAGCACTTTGCTGACTGAGCTATTTACCCAACCCTATTATTTGGTTCTCATGATATCTCTTGCCCCTACGTATGTCTATGCGAGGGTGTCCCCTGGAACTGGAGATAAAGATGGCTGTGAGCTGCCATGTGGGTGCTGGTAATTGAACCTTGTTCCACTGGGAGAGCAGCCAGTGCTCTTAACTGCCAAGCTATCTCTCCACTCCCCACATGTCTTGAATGTGTCATATGTAGACAAGTTAGCAAACTTGTGAGCATCAGAAACTTCTTAAATATAATTTGAATGTCAGCCAGGTGGTGGTGGCGTCAGTGCATGCCTTTAGTCCCAGTACTTGGGAGGCAGAGATTGGCAGATATTTGTGAGTTTGAAGCTAGCCTGGTCTACAAGCCAGGACTTTTACACAGAGAAAGTCTGTCTCAAAAAACCACACACACACACACACACACACACACACACACACACACCTGAATGTTGTATGTATACCTAATGCCCTGGGGTTTTTAGGCTAGCTTCAGGTGAAGGCAATAGGCAGAAACAGTGGATACACTTTATTTATTACATTTTATGTACAGAGCCTATATAACCGTGGCTAGCTTGGAACTCACAAAGATCTGCTGTTTTGCCTCCTGAATGTTAAAATTACAGGCACGACCGCCACAGTTGGCTGTTTACGTAAGTTTATTTTTTATTGACTTTTCTTTTAGACAGGGTCTCACACAACATTGTTGTGGAGGATGGCCTTGAACTTCTGATCCTTCTACCTCCACCTCCCAAGTGCTGGGATCACTGGCATGAACCATCATTCCTGATTATTTGAGTTCTTTAAGATACAACATGGAGCCAGGCATGGTGGCACACACCTTTAATCCCAACACTGAAGGCAGAGGCAGGTGGATCTCTCTGAGTTTGAGGCCAGCCTGGTCTAAGAAAAAAGGAACAACATGCCTGCTCTTACTTGCTAGCTTTCACGGTGCAGCCCAGCAATCATTTCTTAAGCTACTTGCCCAAGAGACAGTCTATACAATCACAATATGCACAAGAATGGTCCTTTGACCTGCTATTCCCAGGGACAGCCTGAACACAATCCAAGCAGGCCCGGATGAGAGAATAAACTCTGAAGTCACAGTGGAATATTATACAATCGCATTACAGGTTCTTGCAGCAGTAAGAGTGAATCTTACTAATACTGTGCTTGCAGAAATAACCTTTCATAAGTTAACGGTGACTAAAACGATCCCAGACACTAGGAAGGAAACAGAAGGATAAGCACAGAAGTCAACACAGGTTACCAAGATAGGGAGCCAGGAGCTGCCATGGGAAGAGGTCACATAGGCTACCAACCAATTCCAGCTTTTATGTGGTTGGTGAGTCACAGGCAGAGTTAAGGTTGCAAAAAGAAAGAAAGAAACGAATAAGGAAGTTAATTGTCAACCAGCCTAATATAGGGAGCTTATCAGGATTCTCTGCTGGACCCAGTGTGATCACAGAGGTCCTCCAAAGTGGGCATGGGGAGCTGGGCATTGGCGCACACATTTAATCCCAGCACTGGGGAGACAGAGGCAGGCTGATCTCTGTGAGTTTGAGGCCAGTCTGGTCTACAGAGGGAGTTCCAGGACAGCCAAGGCAACAGAGAGAAAACCTGTCTGGGGAAAAAAAAAAAAAAAAAAAAAAAAAAAAAAGGCTGGGGGTTGGGGAGGGGGCGTGGGGAAGGAGTCTGAGATGGTAGCTTGAGGACAGTTCAGCCAAGGCCTTGGCTCTGCAGATGGAAGAGGAGAGTCAGGAGCCAAGGGCTCCAGAAGCTGGCTCTTCTCCAGGAGCTTCCAAAAAGGATTACCACCTTGCCAAGGACTTAATTTTAGCCCAATTAAGCCTATTTTCAGACTTCTGACTTTGTAAGATTGTTGCTTTTACTCAGTGTCCTCTGTAATTTGTTAGTGGCCTCAGGAAACTAGCACACTATTGAAACAATTGCTGAGTCCACAAAGTGGGTTACAAAATAACATTCTGATGTTGCTTTGGTTTGAATGGAGCACTGGAAATTCCTGTTAGTCTGGGAATAACTGTGGTAGATGGTCCTTTCCCTGTGTGTATGTGGTCATTTGTTTGTTTGTTTGTTTTCTCCAAGACAGGGTTTCTCTGTGTAGCTTTGGAGCCTGTCTTGGAACTCTCTCTGTAGACCAGGCTGGCCTTGATCTGCCTGCCTCTGCCTCCCCAGTGCTGGGATTAAAGGGTGTGCCACCACCGCCAGGCTCATTCCCTGTGCTTAAGTGGGAATGTCTCCTAAGGATGGACTAGTGATGCTATGAAAAGCTTGTGGCAGTGGATTCAGTGTGTCCTGTTCTTTTGTCTTTCGTGAAATGATGACCAGCAAGAAGCCACATGGCATGGTGGCACACACTGATCCTAACTAACACTTGGGAGCTGGTGGCAGGAAGATAATGAGTTCAGGGTCATTCTCAGCTATATAACAAGTTTGAAT